CCTGTAAGAAAGAGCTCAACTGAATGGTCAGTAAAGATGGCATCTTGCACACTAACGAGTAACAAGTGGCGTGACGTTTCAGTTAAGCTAAACTCTCCATGAAGTGACTTGGGTATCGGTATGCCACGACCAGCAGACTATCGCCTCACCTCGGCAACTAATTAACTCCAAAGAGATTCATTATCGACACCTCACCACTTCTGGGGAGTATCTCAATTTAGCACAATAGACTTTGACGTTGTTACATTCATATTTATCCTTATTCTATCATTCATTTTAATAAATATGAAGAAATACCAATTGATTTTAATTTAATCTTGATAATTTAATGTAATATCTGGTAAGAAATATATGGAGATAATGAACAGGCGAGTTGGGTAATAAAATTTCTAAGACTGAATAGAAATGTGCGTTCTACGCTAAATACTCAGGTGAAATGGCTATTTGTAAAGTGCAACGCCGACTTTGCATAAATGCATCTGTACTCCGCATTAAGTTAGTTACGCTTAAATGCAAATTGGTTTGTTAATCGATCTGTTTAGACCTTGAAACCTTACAGTATAATGGACCCCCTATACACCCTATTCAGTGGCTTATCTGTTCATGCACATCTAAAACGATCGCCCGTCCTTTTTTCTTACTTATTTTATAATTCCCGTCAAGAATTCATAACCTTTCATAACTGACATTTATGAGTCATTCCTTCATTATCTCATTACTTGTGTTTCACTGTTAATCACTACGTTTGATCGGATATTATTATTCTATTCACTCTTGTTGCACTTTTATCAGTTTTAATGAGTAATTTGTCACCCTTACGACATTGAGCCTCATAAACTGCAGTGTCCTGACATCTGATGTGAAAAAATGAGACTTTAGAAACGTCAATACTTTTTAGCTGATGGTAAAACAGCTGCCTTCAACAACCAAAGATGCGCTCTGTCAGAGAAGAAAGACCAGTATAGAAGTTCAGTCCATATAGGAGCTAAAAAATGCAGTCAGCATTCACAAAAAAGACCGCAAGATGGCACGCCAACCGGGCATCTAACACTGGCTATAATCACTTCTCTTGCCACCAGTTATTTGCAAAGAAGAAAGCTTTGCTGCAGTGGAGTGTAGACAAACGCTTAAACGCTCATGACTCAAAAACTAAAATCCTACAGAGAAAGCCTAATTGTTTACTTAAGTTATGATCGAAGCATAAATACGATTTTTCCCGTTTTTTGAGGTTAGAAAACAAAATTCTAGGACTTTGATGATTCGGGGTTAGTCTGTACATTCCGGTGCTCTAGAATTCGGCCATAGATATTAATTTATCCTGAAACTCGTGAAGATGAAAATGACAGTGAAACCGGAAATGGCTATAATTTGAGCATAAATTACGCTCGGATCATAATTTTGACTAGTGCATTGAAGAGCTCTTGATCTCAGGAATCCATTAAGGTGCTTGCGGTCTATGTACCTCTCATAGATCGTGAATTATGGGCGAAAATCAAAGCTATGCTCCAATGAAACATGAAAAAATGTTTAAACGCTCATAACTCGAAAACTAAGCGAGATACGGCATTTTTGACGGGGATATCCTATAGGGGGAGCCTAATTTTTTACTTAGGTCCAGATCTTTCATATGAGCCCTCGATCAACCCTGTACCATTATTAGCATAGAAGTTATGCATAATTATATGTTTTGCCGTTTTTCAGGAATATTTCTTGATTTATTCAACCAAATAAAGTCAACAGCCAGTGTTTGGGAACCGTCTCGTCCCCGTCTTTCCAATGACATCATTAATTTGATGATCCAAGCATAAATACGATTTTTCCCGTTTTTTGAGGTTAGAAAACAAAATTCTAGGACTTTGATGATTGGGGGTTAGTCTGTACATTCCGGTGCTCTAGAATTCGACCTTAGATATTAAATCATCCTGAAACTCGTGAAAATGAAAAGTGACAGTAAAACCGGAAGTGGCTATAATTTGAGCATAAATTACGCTCGGATCATAATTTTGACTAGTGCATTGAAGAGCTCTTGATCTCAGGAATCCATTAAGGTGCTTGCGGTCTATGTACCTCTCATAGATCGTGAATTATGGGCGAAAATCAAAGCTATGCTCCAATGAAACATGAAAAAATGTTTAAACGCTCATAACTCGAAAACTAAGCGAGATACGGCATTTTTGACGGGGATATCCTATAGGGGGAGCCTAATTTTTTACTTAGGTCCAGATCTTTCATATGAGCCCTCGATCAACCCTGTACCATTATTAGCATAGAAGTTATGCATAATTATATGTTTTGCCGTTTTTCAGGAATATTTCTTGATTTATTCAACCAAATAAAGTCAACAGCCAGTGTTTGGGAACCGTCTCGTCCCCGTCTTTCCAATGACATCATTAATTTGATGATCCAAGCATAAATACGATTTTTCCCGTTTTTTGAGGTTAGAAAACAAAATTCTAGGACTTTGATGATTCGGGGTTAGTCTGTACATTCCGGTGCTCTAGAATTCGACCTTAGATATTAAATCATCCTGAAACTCGTGAAAATGAAAGTGACAGTAAAACCGGAAGTGGCTATAATTTAAGCATAAATTACGCTCGGATCATAATTTTGACTAGTGCATTGAAGAGCTCTTGATCTCAGGAATCCATTAAGATGCTTGCGGTCCATGTACCTCTCATAGATCATGAATTATGGCCGAAAATCAAAGCTATGCTCCAATGAAACATGAAAAAATGTTTAAACGCTCATAACTCGAAAACTAAGCGAGATACGGCATTTTTGACGGGGATATCCTATAGGGGGAGCCTAATTTTTTACTTAGGTCCAGATCTTTCATATGAGCCCTCGATCAACCCTGTACCATTATTAGCATAGAAGTTATGCATAATTATATGTTTTGCCGTTTTTCAGGAATATTTCTTGATTTATTCAACCAAATAAAGTCAACAGCCAGTGTTTGGGAACCGTCTCGTCCCCGTCTTTCCAATGACATCATTAATTTGATGATCCAAGCATAAATACGATTTTTCACGTTTTTTGAGGTTAGAAAACAAAATTCTGAGACTTTGATGATTGAGGGTTAGTCTGTACATTCCGGTGCCCTAGAATTCGACCTTAGATATTAAATCATCCTGAAACTCGTGAAAATGAAAGTGACAGTAAAACCGGAAGTGGCTATAATTTGAGCATAAATTACGCTCGGATCATAATTTTGACTAGTGCATTGAAGAGCTCTTGATCTCAGGAATCCATTAAGATGCTTGCGGTCCATGTACCTCTCATAGATCGTGAATTATGGGCGAAAATCAAAGCTATGCTCCAATGAAACATAAAAAAACGTTTAAACGCTCATAACTCGAAAACTAAGCGAGATACGGCATTTTTGACGGGGATATCCTATAGGGGGAGCCTAATTTTTTACTTAGGTCCAGATCTTTCATATGAGCCCTCGATCAACCCTGTACCATTATTAGCATAGAAGTTATGCATATTCTTTGTGTACCTTTAAAGGCTTATAATTCGATTACTAAGTTCAACGATGTTTAGCGAACTCCCTGAAAATGTGCCAGAATTCAAAAATACATTATATATATATATTCATAAACTGTCTGTTGTTGTTATTGAAATCAATTGGAGCACGATAAAAAAATTTTATATTTTCCATTTCCCAGATAAAAAAAAAGGGCAAATTAAATAAAATCATAATTATTTAATGAACGAGTAAAAATACAAAGTAACCGGTGAGATTCGTACCAATCACGAAAAGATTCATCATCAGAGATTTCACCCCTTAGCTACCTACGTAAAGATAAAAGCATATATAAAGTAAAAAGTGGGGTGGGCTTGCCCTACGGAATTCAGAAGATTATTTTAATTTTTTCTTATTTCTGTCTAATGTGATGGATAGGACTTCGTAAAGTCCCCCCCATTGTTTGTGAGATTAAGGCTGCTGGGATAATAGCGGTTTTATTGTCCCAGAAAATTTTTTAAGAAACTCTCTTCAGGCACCAAGTTTCAGGCCCTTTGAGCAGTCCCAATATATATTTTTTAAAGAAATATTGTTATGTTGTCAAATGTTAATTTATCAAAAATATCTTATTATTATTATAAATATCATTATCGAAGCCTTTGACTCATTTTCATCATGCGTAATTAAATTTTTTTTTTTCTCTTTTAAACATCGTTATTTGCTATAAAAAAATTGCTTCGGTCGTACATTATTTTTTTCTCTCCTTTGGCGTGATTGCACATGAAATTTGTCCTAAAAATATTAATTATTACAATTGATTGAATTAAAAAAAAAACATGACATTAATAGGCTTGAATACAAAACCTACGTTTCCGTAGTCGAGCGTGTTACCTCTGAGTTGTTACAAAAATATCGAATTGGTTTTATAGCTTCTATGTATGTTACGAACGGAGCCGGACCTTATCCATTCAAAAATTGGTGCTTGAAAATAAACTGGCTTAGGATTCTTGTAATGAGAGTAAAAGAGAACACAAATCTTATCTCTCTTCTCTTTTAGATTACGGGGCGTGGCTAGAATAAACTGTTGCAACGCCATCGCTCGATGGGTTCACAGAAACTTTTATGTTGTGACCTGAGATTACCGACATGTTAACCCAAAATACCGACATGTTGACCGAAACTTCGTCCGGATTTTTAACACAGCATTGGACTTCTGTACTGTTCTCTCTTCTCTGACTCTGTCCAATATAGTATTTTAGCAAATATTTAAAAAAAAATTTCATGATAGATAAGCTTCAAAACAACTTACCCTATACATGAATAAAATCGAATATTATCAATAGAGTCATATGTTGGTATTCAAATGTATAAAATATTTATTTCTATTTCTGCAAGAGCTGCTTATAAAGAATTTACGAATACAGTCTTTCAACAGCCTCCGTGGCGCAATCGGCTAGCGCGTTCGGCTGTTAACCGAAAGGTTGGTGGTTCGAGCCCACCCGGGGGCGTTTCTTTTTGCTGAGAAAAAACGTAAATTTTTTTTTTAAAAGTGACAAATTTTATTTCATAAAAAATATCAACATATTGTTCAATTAAAAATTTACATTTGAATTTACTTAATTGTTATACTTGATTCATTCAATCACCTGTGATGTGATTATATCTTATTGTTCGGATTCTTTGGATTCTTTAGAATCATCATTTCTATACATGACACGAGATACAGCTACATAATATTTTTCAGTAGAAAGATCCATATATCCTATAGGACCTACTTCACAATCTGCACAACCTAGATATTTTATTTTATCCACTATTTTTGTTATACTAACATTCTCAAATTCATACAATCCTTTATCTACTACCCAATAGTCCTTAATTATTTCCACTTTTTCATTCTCTTCTGTACCCTTGGAATGTATGTGAGGTAGAGGAAACTGAAGAATTATACTGATTTAATTACAATCTAAATTTTATTTTAATTCTTAATTTACCATTATTTGTTTACAAAAATCTTATTGATGTTGGTTCGTCAAAAAATTGTATCATTTGGAAATTTCTATTTTTAACACAAAATAAATAGAATAACAAACAAAAATATTGTAATTTTTGTAAACAAAATAAATTGAATGTAATGTTTTCATTCATATTATCTATAAATTAAAAGTTATTAACAAAAAAACCATTCTCACCTCATGTGGAATAAAAGTGCTTGTTCCTACATTTAATATAACAGAAGGACAAAATCTGCAACATATTTTAGCTTTATTTTTTCTATCAACATTTTTTTGTTCTTCTTGATTAATTTCTGTATCACTTGTTGATGACATTTTATTCAATTATACTGTTATGAATTTCTAAAATTAGCAATTCTTTGTTTATTCTTCGTCAACACTGAATTGATAACCTATAAACACAAATATAATAATTATTTTTCTAAATATCATTCGTGTTTTTTTAATAAAAATTATAATTAATTTGAAATATCAACCTGATAGATTCTGTTTACTATTCAAAGTAGAGTAATATCTATAAAAGACACTGTAAATCAGAAAAGAGAGAGATATTCTTTAGTCTTTCTTCTCTGCCGCCACACCATTTTGAAGCACCAGTAGCGCCTCTACAGAGAAACTTTATGAACTGCGTTATATTGTCAAAATTATGCTGCAGTAAACAGATGAAATAATACACTTCAGTTTTGTTCAATTTTTACTCTAAAGCTTGTTTATGTACCATTAACAATTCTTTTTTCTTGTGAAATAATTAGAAATATTTGTATCATCTCCAAATAATAATCCAACGAAACAAGCAGAGTTGTACGTAAGTGATAACAAACAGTAAAACAAAATCTTCATAAATAAGGTTAATTTTCAAATGAAGATATATATGTACTTTTTTATTACTTTGCTCTTTTATTTTAACTTATATTTGCCATTACAAAAATTTTGGTAGAAAAAAGTAATTAGCTGTACGCAAAAATGCCGGACACAATGGACGAGGATATGTCTATGTCAGTTCGCCTGACAAATGATGATTTTAGAAAGCTTCTAATGACACCAAGACCATCAGCACCATCAGTAACTCCAGCTACGGTACCAAACACAGTAAGAGATACTGCTGCTAAAACAGCTCAAACTCCTTCTATTTCTGGTGGTTCTCGTGCTGAGTTGAGGCGTAAAAAGAAAAGTTTCTATGCTAAATTGAAGAAACAAGAAGAAGATAAAATGGCTGAATTAGCTGAAAAATACAGAGATCGTGCACGAGAAAGAAGAGACGGTACCAATGGCGATTATCAAACTGAAGATCCAATGAACAATGCTAGTGCCTATCGTGCTGTTGCACCTGATTTAAAATCTGGTATGGATGCTGCAGAACGTAGAAGACAAATGATTCAACAATCAAAATTCTTGGGTGGTGATATGGAACATACTCATTTAGTAAAAGGATTAGATTATGCTCTTCTTCAAAAAGTACATATTGATTATTATTGTTAATTTATTCATTAAATATATTAAGTATTCTTAAATCATTTATAATTTTTAGGTACGAAGTGAGATAGAGGCAAAAGAAACGGAGCAAGAGCAAGAAATGGAAAAACTTGTAAAACCCAAAGAAAAACCTAAAGAAAAAAAAGAAGTCGAAAAGAAAAATGATGAAACATTATTTAAAACTAAAATTGGCCGAAATATTCATAAAACAATCATGATTATGAAATCTAAAACAGTAGAGCGAAATGAACTTTTCACACCAGGACGAATGGCATACGTTATTGAATTAGATGATGAAAATGCTGATGTTGATATTCCTACCACCTTGATTCGAAGTAAAGCCGATGTGCCAACAGTTGATGCAACACCTACGTTAACAACAAATGATATTGTTATTAATAAGCTTGCTCAAATTCTTTCTTACTTACGCCAAGGTAATAGACATGGTAAGAAAGGTAAGAAGAATAAAGATGGACGTGTTAAAGGTGATGAAATGGGTGACATGGAATCTTCTGCAAAAGTACCCCAAGACGATAGTATATACGGTGATATTGGAGATTATGTACCAAATCTATCCAAAAAAGATTCTTCCAATAAGGATAAGAAAAAGGGACCTTACTTTAATAAATCTCTCGATACGGCAGTGAATTCTGATGATAAAGCCAATGTACCACAACTACCAACTATTTTGAATAATGCAGTTGATAGTAGCGGAATAGCACAAAAGAAAGGAGTTCTTTTTAATAAACTTGCTGCTGAACCTGAAGGATATGCTGAGTGTTATCCTGGTTTAGATGAAATGCAAGATGCGATTGATGATTCTGATGATGAAGTTGATTATACAAAGATGGATTTGGGTAACAAGAAAGGACCTATTGGACGTTGGGACTTTGATACTCCTGAAGAGTATAGCGAGTATATGAATAATAAAGAAGCACTTCCCAAGGCTGCATTTCAGTACGGTGTTAAAATGGCTGATGGTCGTAGAACAAGAAAGTATAATAAAGAAAAGAATGAGAAAGCGGAATTAGATCGAGAATGGCAGAAAATTCAAAATATTATGAACAAAAGAAAACCAGCAAATGGAGCTGATGGTGCTCCAGAATTTAAAGTTCCCAGGTATTGAAGATCTTTAGACAGAGATGAATAATGCAAATATATATTGTAGAAAAAAATTTTTATAGATGATAAGATAATAATTTATGTATGGAGTATGTATTTAACTCATCGCATCAACTTTATTATTCTCTAATCAAATAACAATTACATAAAATTTACTAAACTATACATATACATAATATGTATGACAAACATAATTATCACAATAAATTTTGTTCGTTGTCATTTTTATTCGGAGTGAAATATAATATTTTTAACTTGACATTACTTATTATTCATAATTAAAACTATGTCAATAAATTATATTAAATATGATACAATAACTACATTATTACTCTTTAAATTATAACTTTATTTTGATCTTTCATTTTAAACTACATAAATATTATAAGAAAAAAAATTTAACAATTTGATTCTCATCTATTATACAGTCAATAACATTAATTTATTATTTGAAATAATCTATTGCACGATTATTATAATCATTTATAAAGCAATTATTTTGACTATTTTTATTATTATTAATTATACCATCATTAATAACGGCATTAGTTTGCATCTATTATTCTTTCAATAATTCATATCTAAACTTTTAGTTTAAGATAAAATTTACTATTTCATGGTAGCAAACCAGAAACTTTCCATAGTTAAGTACTATTTGATAATGAACTTGGCTTTTCATTTATAAACTATAAAAAATCATCAACATTTACAGATATATTATAATTTTAGTATAACAACAATATGAGAAATGATGAAATTGATGAATATTAAAATATCGTTAATTAATTAACAATAAGTGAAAAGATATTTGAAGATATCTCTTGAAAATATAAATTCAGATTATATTATATGTAATATAGGTCACCAATAAATTAATGTATAAATTAAAAAATGGTAATATATAGCAATATTGCCAATTAAATTATCTGTATATATGTATACATAATAATTATAATAATAATAATTAACAACACATCAAAAATATTTTATAGTTTTTTAAAACTTACTTGGAAATAAGCTTATTTCATAAGCACTTGTTATTCCTAGTATAACCATGATTATCAATAAAGAAATGTGTGGAAATAGACCAGCTGAGGAATTAACTGTTTTTGGCAATCCATCAGCAGTAAAATTTCTTCCATAAATAGCAAAAGTCATTAAATCTTTGCGCGGTTTGATTAAACTATACTTCAAATTGACATGAGTTGCATTAATTTTATCACTTGTAAATGTAAAATCACTAACATTTAATGGATGAAGTTCAGTATTTATATTCAATGGCATGCGTAAAACAGTGGGTACATCTTGAACTTTACTTGAAATGACTATTGATTTAAATGTTGTTGGATGTACAATTATTGTATTTGAATCAAATCTTTTACTACAGCTTGTTGGGTTGTCGTCTAAACATGCAATGATGCTGCAAATTTCAACACCTCCAGTACGAACATCGGAAAAGGATCTTACTCCATTGAAGACAGCAAAACGGTATCTAATATTGAAATAATTAAAATAAAATGTGATTAAAATCATTCTTATTAAGTATTATAATATAAAATTAATTATAAACCTGTAGTATTTAGCAGCACCCTTGATTAAGTCCTCACGATGTTCAGTATTGGTTGTAAAATTGCAACAGTGTCCATAATTACAAAGAGTAACATTGAATGTACCATTTTTAGGTTGAAGTAATTGAGTTGTATATGCTGTAGTATCATCCATCTTAAGTACTTGCTGAGTCTTGGATCCATTACTGGGATTAGTAGATATTTGTGCAGGTGTCAAGTATAATATTTTAGTATCTTCTGGATTTATTGATCGTTTTTGCGAACCATGTTTGATCTTTGGTATTTTAGTAATAATCAATGCATTAGTTTGTTTCTCAGACCAAACTCGAGCTAAATGACCATTTTTAGCAGAGTAAATTCCACTTCCACCACTTCCTGTTGATGGTTCATTGAAACCCGATCCAAGAAAATTAACATCATTGATGTAAGACCATCCAGTTTGTACTGCATTGGCAGTAAGGTAAGGAAGTTCAGAAAACCAATGGGAGGAAAAAACGATATCAGTGATCTTCTTTTCAGTAATTAATTTGAGTGCTGGTGTTTGAAATAGAATATCAAAACAAATGAATTGACCAAATGTTATGCCAAAATCAGTTTGGAATGTTGATAGTTCAGGTTTAGCGGTAACATTCATTTCTTTTTCACCAAAAAGATTCCATTTTCGATATTTTGCGATTAGGCGACCCTCTCGATCGAATACAACATTTGTATTGTACAAATTGTGTCCGTCCTTGGAACAATTTGCACCGGTACACTTTTCTTTTTCACGGACATTTATGACGACATAGATCCTACGATGTAGTGCGGCACATGATATGGCCTTTACAGCCTAATGAGGTAAAAAATATATCGATTATACCGATAAAAATTAATAGAAATTATAAGATATATATTATTATATACACTATATTCATATATATATATAAAATAAACTTATGGATTTATACTCATCACTTAAAGCTATACTTTTATTTTTAATATCAAGGTTATTTATTATTATTCTTTTTTTTTAAATATATATTAGTTTACCTCCATAACGTTGCTAGATGCATCGTGACACGGAACTTTTAATTCCTCGGGACGTGGAAGGTAGGAACTGTGATGTAGATAATTACTCCGATTCCCTAAAGAGAGTCCACTAACCAGAAGTCCATTTTCAGGAAAAACAATAATGTCAACTTCCTAAAATTTTTGTACTGTTATTAATATTCAAAAAATAATGATCATCATCTTAAATAAAAAAAGGAGTAGTTTTTTCGTACATTTTCACTAGCGATTTTAATAATCGTAACGTAATTTTTGGTATTTTCGTTGGTAATTTCCGTGGCATTTTTATAATCTGAACGAACAGGATTATATTCAACAACAGCTCCGATATAATCCGGTGATGCTGGTAATGAAACCTAAAATTAAGATAATTAATTAAAAAAAAATATCATTAATCAATTAATTTATTTGATTCAACAATTTCGCAAATTGTTGAATTTATTTTACTAATAAATTTATAAAACGTTTATTTAATAATTAAACTCACTTGTAATGTTAATCGTGTTGACAAATAAATGCTTATAAAACACACGCATAATACTTTAGGTATCATTTTGGATTAATTGTAAGAATTATATAATTTTAAAATTTATGAAAATAAAAAATAACAAAATAATTCAATAAATTCGTAAATTTGGCACAATTGATAATATTATGTATATAAATGTATATATATAAAAATTGAAGAGATTTTAAACAACAAAAAATGAAAAGATGTGGATATGTAACAACTTTATAGAGTCAAACTCGTGTCTCCAAGAGGTCTTACTCTCGTATAGATCCAGCAGCCGCTAATCGGTATATTGTTCCGCACAAGGGGGCTGCAAGGGAGAAGAGAGAGAGAGAGAGATAAAGTATGAAGGAGTGTGCGCGTTAATTGTTGTCGATGTTAAAGAATCTATGAATATATGGCTAGAAGTTGATAAAGAAACAATAACACTATCTCAGCAGTGATTCTTAGAATTGAAATAAGTATATTTATCACTGTCTCATACAAATGTATTATGAAGTATTAAACTATCAAATGGAAAATAAAATTCAGTATTGCCATACTTGAATTGAATACATGAAAATTTTGCGCATGCATCTTGAGCATCAGACAGCATCCCAACCTATTCATATAAATATAGGTGAGCATCTGCGCATGGATTCTCTTTGGATATTATTCCCAAGAACATGATGGAAACAAATCATAGGTTAATAATATAACATAAATAAACATCATAGGACCTTGAAAAATATATAAACGAGTCTTTTTTTAACACGTTAATGCCATGTAAATGTACGATTATCAAGTTAATAAGGATTAAATGTCATCAACATGAAAACATTTATTGTACTCGAGAAGAAATAAATAGAACGACCAGGAGAATTTTTGTTAATTTAAATAACAATTAAAGATAAAAAATTACAACCAAAAGTTATTTTGAATGTAGTTTTATATTATCCAAAGTGTGTAATTATTAATTTTTACTTTTAAAATAACAGAACTGTAACAATTTACTGTCATATTACATCAATATTTATCATTTTTTTTGCTAGCAAGCAAAAGTAAAGATGATTAATAAAATTAATGATTCATAGTATGTTTTTATGATGTAGAAAATATTGTCCATAGTATATATTATCAAAAAAAAAGTTCAGATCTGATGAAGGCTAGTCGGATCAAACTGTCAGATCTATTTGGAACTTAAAATTGACCAGATCTTTCTGCATCTAAAAGTATATCTAATTAGATTGGAGCAGATCCAACTGGATAGAAATCTCAGTACCAATTGTAAGATCTAAAAATATCAGATAAGATCTACTGACAATAAGATCTAATCAGATTTGATGCAATTATATTCGTTAGATAACAACAAAATAAATATAGATTTCAACCTGATCTAACAAGCTCTTGAATTTTTCTGTTCTAAAACAAAATTAATTTGACATCTCCAATCAGTTCTGAATAAATTAAAAACCATCTATTATCTTAAAAATACACTGTTGGATTAAAGTTCATGTGATCGATTCAAATAAGGCAGAACTGGATCTGAGCAGATTTTCTTGAATGTAATGCTGACTAACAAAAGTCGGTTTCCCATCTGACCCGATTTACCTGATTCTTTTGGAATGTAATAGAATTTGACTTCAGGTCAAACTAAAGCTAATTGAATCTCACTAGATCCAACTCGATCTAACAAAACTCTGAGTTTAATTCGACCCATTCCAATAGGAAATGTTAGGATCAAACTTGTGTCATTTTAACTCCAATTAAGTTCATTAAACCTCGTAATTTTTTCCAGGTGTAAGAAACTACCATTCTCACATTTAAAAATAAATGTCAATCAAGAATATTATAAATAGTAGACATTCGAATAAAATTTTAAAAGATTTTTTTATCTTTATAAATTATAATTGCGGATGTCTGTGATTTTCAGACATTGTTTGAAATATTTATTATTGCAATAATCAACGAAATTATAATATGTAAACAAGTCATTACTGCTCTGTGACCTATACAAACTTAACTGGATAATTCCGGAATTTTTTGTTATCTCATATTATTAGGTTATAGGCCAGAGGATGACTTGACAGAAGATAAATCACATAGTGTATTTACATGAAATGTAAAAAAAAAAGAAACGACAATATTGAAAAAAAAAGTGATTTTTCGATTAATTCATCATCAAACAATGATATATTATCGATCAAAAATGTATTATCTACAATAAATTAATCCCTAAACAATTGTTATGTATTTGTTTTACGGGTAGTTATTAATGTAAATTAACATTAATAATTAGAAATAATGAAAGTAATTAAAATTTACTTGAAATGAGTGATACTGATTAGAGATTATAAAAAATCCCCGACTCGGAAAAGATGATACTTGAAGGTCTCGACCCTCTAGAATATAATTTAAGATAGCCAAGAATTATATAAAGTGTACTTGTTACTTCTCTTGTAGTTCAGTAAACTTTCAATTCTGGCGAATAACTGATCGATACTCAAACACGACCGAACCTTTGAGAAACATTCTAGTATCTTATTGCAACGAGCGCAACTTAGATTTCATTCCCGTTTAAATATTTTCCATCCAATGTTGTTTATAAAAAATTGTATATTATTTTCAGCCAAACGCACCTTTGCCAGTCATAGGGTAAATAATTTCTCAATAATATCCTTTTATGTATTGTTTTGATCAGTAGAAACATAGTGTTGTAGAATAATAGTAGTCAATGACACTGACAAGTAGCTTGTATATACCGTTGTTTTAACAGAAATTAGTTTAGTTTATACACAGTTATTTTACTTTGGGTTAATGTTAGTTTTATTATTTACAGTTTTAACTACTATCTACACTCCTTTATTCAGTATTATTAATAAAAATAAAATTAAAATAAAGAGGTAAGTAAATACTAGATCTGCACGTGTTTAATACTCACATCAACATCATGCTTTTAGCACGCTCACTCATTGTTTGGTTGATAAGATCATGACTGAATAACCTTTTAGCTTTTAGATAGAGCATCATTATTTTCAAACTAATGATAACAAAAAAGTACCATTTTCAACATCATTATAATAATGAACTAATTTAACAGATTGCAATGGCACAATTAAAAGTGGCAATCATTGGACAAAGTACTTTTGCTGCTGAAGTTTATAAACTATTAAGGCAAAATGGTCATCAGATAACAGGTGTTTTTACTGTACCGGACAAAGCTGAACGTGAAGATCCTTTAGGTAAGTTTTTTTTTAATGGAATTTGTATATTTGAAATTATTGAAAATATATTTAATGTTGTTTTATTATTATGTTACAGTAACAATCGCAAAAACAAATAATACACCTGTTTTTAAAATAAAAAGCTGGAGAAGTAAAGGTGTTATATTACCAGAGATATTTGATCTCTACAAAAGTATTCAAGTGGATCTTAATATTTTACCATTTTGTACCCAATTTATTCCTATGGAGGTGATTAATTATCCAAAACATCAGAGCATCTGTTATCATCCATCCATTCTTCCACGTCACCGAGGAGCAAGTTCAATAAGTTGGTGAGTTAAGAAGAAATTTTTATAAATTGATCAATTGAGATTTTTTTTATGACTGATAGAGAAAGGATTAAAATATATAGATAGTTCTAAGATATCGTGTTGCACAAGGAAAGTTAAAAATGTTATAGTTCCTGACTAACCAGTTAACTAAACAAGTTCTTTCGTAATTGTATATAATTATATTTTTCATTCACCAAGAACCATCTATAAGTAGAAAACTAAAACCAATTTTGAACAATTGTAGGACACTTATTGAAGGCGATAAGGAAGCTGGTCTATCCATTTTTTGGGCAGATGATGGCTTGGACACTGGGCCAATTCTTTTACAAAAGTCCTGTCCTGTACAACCAAATGATACCTTGGACAGTTTGTATAATAACTTTCTTTACCCAGAAGGAATCAAAATGATGGCTGAGGCAGTAGATCTCGTGGCCGCTGGAAAAGCTCCAAAAATTCCTCAACCAATAGAAGGAGCCACTTATGACCCTATGCTGAATAAAAAAGAACTCCAGCAAATTAATTGGAATAAATCAGCACAGGAAATTCACAATTTTATCCGTGGGCTTGATAGTACACCCGGTGCTTGGTCTTTATTGAATGGAGAAGAAGTTCGTTTTTATGGATCAACATTGTGGGCTAAAGAAAAACCTAAAGGGGAAATTGTTGATGTTGATGGACATGAGGGTATTATTCATGACGAAGGGTTATTAATTACGGCAAAAGACGGACAATCTATTAATATAAATAAGCTTAAAGTTGGTAATAGAGTTATTCTAGCATCAAATTTCGGAAAATCTAATGATGCGATGTTGAAGACAGAGTTTAATGAAGAAGAAAGACAAATAGTTGAAACATTACGTATTTTTTGGAAAGACATATTAGGAGTTGATGTTGAAGATAGCACTGATTTCTTTGCTTGTGGTAATTTATTATCATTAGTACTCAAGTTAGAAGAATGTACCTTTATAAATTAATGAATAACATTTTTACAGGAGCTGGAAGTATGGATGTCGTAAGATTAGTTGAACAAATAAAAGACCTTCTAGGCATTGTTATTCAAAATACAGATGTATTTATGGCACCAGTATTTATTGAATTTGCTTCTAAGGTGATCACAACACGACATGAATCATCACAAGTGGGAAAAGAAGTAAAATATGATGCAGTAGAAATTCATGCGAATAATTTAAATTTAAAATTTCCACGTCAATTATTTATCAATGGTCAATTTGTTAATGGTCACGCAAAGCCAATACCCACTATTGATCCACATACTGAACAAGTGATATGTGAAGTAGAGAGTGCATCACCGGATGATGTTGATTCTGCAGTAAAAGCTGCACAAAAAGCTTTTGAAGAGGGTGAATGGAGCAAAATAAGTGCCCGTGAACGGGGTGCTTTACTTTTCAAGTTTGTTTTTTTTTTATTAAAAAAATAAACTATAAATATGTCCATAGATTTATCAAGTAAACAATTTTATTTATAGATTATTTATGCATTTATTTTCTTTTAAAGATTGGCGGATTTAATGGAGGAACACAAAAATGAATTGGCAACAATAGAAAGTATAGATTCTGGAGCTGTATATACACTTGCGTTAAAAACCCATGTTGGAATGTCAATTGAAACCTGGCGGTACTTTGCTGGTTGGTGTGATAAAATTCAAGGCAATACCATCCCAATATCTCATGCAAGACCAAATAGAAACTTGACCTTCACAAAACGAGAACCAATTGGTGTTTGTGGATTAATAACCCCTTGGAATTATCCGTTAATGATGCTTTCATGGAAAATGGCTGCTTGTTTAGTAGCAGGAAATACTGTAGTCATGAAACCAGCTCAAACTTCACCACTTACTGCACTTAAATTCGCAGAATTAACTGTTAAAGCAGGATTTCCTCCAGGTGTTGTTAACATTATACCTGGCAGTGGTTCAGTTACCGGCATGGCTATTGTTAATCATCCGCACATTAGAAAATTAGGATTTACTGGTTCTACAAGAGTTGGACAAACCATTATGAAAGGTTGTGCAGAAAGTAATTTAAAAAAAGTGTCATTGGAACTGGGTGGCAAGAGTCCACTTATTATTTTTGAAGACGCTGATATCCAGCAAGCAGTGAGGCTTGGGATGAGTGGAGTATTTTTCAATAAAGGAGAAAATTGTATAGCCGCAGGTATGTTTTAATTCTTAATATGGGTTATAATTTTTTAAATAGCTTCCCGGGTTAAATTTTTTCTTTATTTTATAATAAAATTATTAGTGACCGACTATTTATAATTTTAGTCTTGATTTCTAAATTAAATTCTAATCTCAATAATAATAATAATCCAAAACAAGTACGGTTTTTATCTAAATGCTGTATTATTTGAAGTATTCTATCCCTACTTGGCAATAAAATTGACTTCTGAGTATTCGCTTGGAATCGACTTTATAAATGTCAATATCAGTTATGCTCTATTTTTTAAAATACTTTTATACCTTTTTTTATCACTTTAAAAGTATATTTAAATATTTTTATTCAATACTTTCAACTTTAAATGAAAGCAAACATTTTGAAATAACTTACGAATAAAATATATTGTCGATTTTTTTAATTTAATTATAATTTCAATTGAATATTTTTAGGTCGACTATTTGTTGAAGAAAAAATTCATGACGAATTCGTGAAAAGAGTTATCGATGAACTCAAAAAGATGACAATAGGGAATCCCTTAAATAGAAAAACTACACATGGACCACAGAATCACAAAGCTCATCTTGATAAACTTATTGAATTTGCTGAGATAGGAGTCAAAGAAGGTGCAACTCTGGTTTATGGTGGAAAACGTTTAAATTGTCCGGGATTTTATTTTGAACCTACGATATTTACTGATGTTAAAGATGATATGTTCATTGCACAAGAAGAGTCTTTCGGTCCAATTATGGTAATTTCGAAATTCTCGTCAAATGATGTCGAGTCTTTAATCAAACGGGCCAACAGTACAGAATATGGTCTTGCCTCAGGAATTCTTACGAAAAATATTGATCGAGCACTGTGGTTCACTGAAAAAATTAATGCTGGAACTGTATTTGTTAATACTTATAACAAAACGGATGTTGCTGCACCTTTTGGTGGATTTAAACAATCAGGATTTGGCAAAGATTTAGGACAAGAAGCTCTCAATGAATATCTTAAAACTAAGACTGTTACTATTGAGTATGGAGATACTCATTTTTAAATTTATTTTTTCAAATCTTGCATAAAAAATCGCACATTAGATAAGAAGATACAAGTATCTTTGAAATATTTTTGGATCTTTGTAGAACAAATGACATATCACTTCACTGTATTGAAACGAATATTTTTATATAATAAATATAAAAAAAAAAAGCAATGCAAGTGTTCTGAAAACTATTTTTCTTACAATAAACTAGATATAAATTGAAAAATGAATTGCTATCTCTTGAAAATCAAAAAGAATTTGATGAAAAAATTAAGGTCTAATATAAATATTATATTAAGTTGTGCATAACGTACAATGGTGAAGACCTACACTGTGTTATTATACACTCTCCCCTTCAGATTAATTTTTCTCCCCATTACTAGTACCAGCAGTCTCAAAAGCTTCCTATCTATACATATTACATACACCGAATAGTTGTGTAATCCATTTGAATTTTATCTGAATTTGAATCATAATATCAATGTAAGTTTTTATACGATTTTTTATGCTCTAGTAATTAACAATAATACGAACTATTAAGGAAAAACTTTAAAAACGATTGTATTACAAATAATATTTCTGTTACATTGCAAATAAATTTATAATTTATATAAACTCATAGACAAGTGTATCATTTTGACTGATATTAGTTATGTATTTTATAAGATTCATTTGAATGAATTGAAATTCATATTGTAATTGTGTATATGATGATAAGATTAAATATAAAAATTTTATTCTCAGTAAAATGTTTAATGATAATTTTTTTATAAAATAAAACAAAAACAATCGTTAAACTTTATCTGCGGACAACCATCACTGCGTTTCCGACAAAATTAATATACTATGCACCATTTCAGATACATTGAATAATTCTTATTTAGTCAGCTAAACCGAAAATAGTGATATCTCGGTCAACTGTGATCATTACCCGCCCCTTCCTGTTTCCTTTTTCATATTCAGTTAATCTTGAAACCTCAGCATCCTGTAGTAGTGGAGGGACGTTGAACAGGATTATTATAAATTATACTGTCTTATTTCTACTTTCTCAGTTACCATTTAAACTCAGGTATAAAGACATCAACTAAAATTATATATTGAAATTTTAACTTTTTTATAGTACTGTAAGTTCATACATATTGATTTGAACGAGTTAAATGAATATAAGATTATGTGAAATTTCCAATAATTCATTTTTTGGGAATATTACAATAAGTGTGTGCTATTTTTGTGTTAATTTTTTCATTGAATTCTATAAAAAAAAAAAACAATCCGTTTCATTACGTTGCAGCTCATCATTGGGCATCTTGCTTTAGTTACAACAGCTAGCTGCCTTTTAATGGGCAACGATGTAAATGAAATATTGCAACAAGTTTACATAGTGTGAATTTTGAACTCCAAAAATGACTAATTAACAAACGTGAACAACAAATAAAATTGAATCAATGTGATCTTTCAGACTTAAATCTCTACAAAACTGTGCTTACGTTAATGACTATTAATATTTGAACGTTAATTTAATCAGCTAGACGAACTGATTTCAATAAAAGAATTTTAATTTATTTATAATTTTTGGTACATAAATATATATTAAAACTAACATAAAGATAATACGGACCTGACAATAAAAATTTTTTAATAAAATCTATTATTATTAGCATTATATTACATGATATGAAAAAAGTGAACAATTTACTTTTAATTATAACACTTTGCTATGTGCCAATAAAATTTCCTACTTTTTAATGTCATTTTTTATGCAAATATACAAGTTAAATATTAGTCGAACTTATAAAATAATAATATTTTATATTATTATTTAAATTTAAAAATTGATCATACAAATATGTTGATAAATTTTTCAAACATTAAAGATGTTATTGTTTTACTGTAATATAAATAATTTATTCTAATTAATAATAATACCATTATCATTATTATTATTATTATTATTTAATTATTGGTACTTATAACGAATTTTTTGTTTGTTAAACAATTAAAATAAGTTATAATGATTAATACAATTTAGTTTGTAATAAATGTAATAATAAAACAACTTTCAACGTTAACTAATAGTGCATGTTTATTGTATGTGATAGTGAAAGATCAATTATTAATTCTCCTTTCATGCGAGTGTATTCGTATATAGTAAAAGAATCAGTCTCATCTAAGTAATAGAATGATGTTACATAACTACACATTCATCTTTCTATATTTACAAATTTATATAACTTTGAGAGATACAACGAAGTAACCGACCAATTACTTTATATTATTTTTCAAATAAAAATTTTACATTTGTTAAATTTTAATAAAAATTAAAATAAATTTCTGTTGATTAATCAATACTGTAATTATAAATTTACTGGAATATCTATCATTGATAATTTATTATTCTTAAAGCTATCATTATAATTAGTACGATCTTTATTAATCAATTAATGTCATTAAAAAACGAAAACAACTAAAATGAATCATGCTTTTTAATGACTATTTTAATAATAATAGTGAATAGCGTAAAATGATGCGAAAATGTTATGAGAGCTAATTTATCACATTAATACTAATCATTTTATAGTATTAATTAATTAATCTATCAAGTAAAATTTACAGAATGATGATATACCCGTCAATGACAATAACTCAATATTCAAATGGAGACTCACTGTTATCATCAATTTAATTAATATTTATATATATATACATTTAAGATTTTATTTTGTTAATAATTAAAAACATTTCACCCTAAAAATTTGATTTCGTACATTGTAACATGTTTAGCTAAGCTATACTTTAAAATATAAACGTATTCTTATTTTTATCAAATGAAAAGAAGGTTTTTCTTTACACATTGTTGTAATATTGGTTTATACTACTCACCGAGAATAATAACGGCACCGTTATTCCTCAATAAGCCTTCAAAATACACTGCCATAAGCATCAAATGGTTGCATAGTTACTGTAATATTTTGTATTAATTATTGTATTAAAACATACAGTAAAGATAATGCAGCTATTTAATGATGTGAAAAATATTATGAAATAATATTTTTCCTTTTATCAGCAATGCACGCATCCATTCATACATACAGGCTAGATAATTAAGAATCATACGGCGCACATTTTTTTATTTCTCGGACGGAACTTAATACGAAGTCGAGATAACTGTAAAAATATTTATATATTTTCCTCAACATTGTTTAATAAAACTCAGTTGATATAAATAATAAATAATGGCCTAATTTTAAAAGAAATACTAATGAATAAATAAATTGATGTTGTGAATATCCATTTTAAAATTTTAAATTTTCAAATAATTGTAAAACAAATGTTTAAACACGTAGTAGATTTAAGGTGTTAATTAATGGTCACCAAAAATGAGATTGAACGTAACCACCACCCATTCCTATTGGATTAAAACGATGTGGATGAATTTTTTCCATTCTCATAGCTCCTGGACCGCCACCTCCACCTCCTCCGCCTCCGTTTCCAATAAAATTCCCATGATGACCACCACGAGCTCCAATTGAAATAGCTCTGCCTATTCCAGGATTACCGACATTAATTCCATTACCTCCATTTATACCGCCACGTCCACGACCTCCTCCACCTGCAAGACATATAATAATTTAATCAATAAATAGTGATCATAAAAATTTATTAGTATTTAGCCATTTAAGCAAAAATTAAAGCAAAATATATATATCATCTGCATAAAGTTTCAATTCTCTAATAATAACATAAACTTAATGCGAGCTGCAAAGTTTATAGAAAAATTATATTAAAAATAAGATTATATCAAGTTTTGGTAGATGGTGAGGAAGACATTACCTCCTGTCCAGAATAACGCAAATTTATGTGTAGATTATTTGACGTTTATTACGAAGGACATTTTTTTGTTAAAAAAATTGAGAAATCCACTACTTATTCCATAATAATAATTACAACTAATTAATATGTTTCATTATATTATATTATTTCACTTTAAATTTGTTATATATTGTAATATTTTTCTAAAAAATTTTTCAACAATTAATTTATAATAATGATTTTCTTTTTTTTTTCATTTCAATTTAATCCAATTTATATCAAAACATGTTCATAAAACTACACATTATGTCAATCATAATAATCATACTATAAATTAGAATTTTTTTAATTAATATAATGACCATGTTAATAATCTCACAATAATTCATCATAATTAATAACAATTAATAATTATAAATATACAAATAATTTAACTAGAAAAAAATATTCATATGCAACATTGTACTTTTTAACACTATCTAACATCTACTATCAATTCAGTAGACATAGTATACAATACAATATAGTAGCATTATTACATAGTGATAATTATAATTTTTTATGAACAACTTAAATCTATTGTGTAACAATAATTATAATTGTTTTTATATTGTGTTACATATAGAATTGGAGTATCTCGTTCAAGTGAACAGTAGATTGTAAAATCTAATTTCTTAATTATATTAAGATAAAAGCATGTAAATATGTTGTTATATGAATTTTTAATTCGTTTTTTATTATTAATAGTAATTAACTATTATTTTAGTTTTTAAAGAATTATTAACAATTTTTCTTGATTAATCCTTTTATCACAGCCATTATCAAATACACTACCAAACTTTTCTATAGAATTTTTCTTCTCTGAGATCTTTGACATTCTTCGTTTTACTTATAAAGAAAAATTACTGTCATTCAACAATTACAGTTTTCTATCTAATAATTGATAAATTTTTTTGTTTTTTTTTTTTTGTTTTTTTAATTTCTTATTTATTTAGAAAAAAAATGGAATTGAATTTATTTCATTTGATTCCTTAAACTTATTTGAGCTTATTATTTTAATTATTCTACTCGACGGTAACTCTACACTTGTAGAATGTATATATCTTTATATACATATTCGTTTCTAACAAGCATTGTTTTAAAGAATTGGATCAATTAATTTAATTTAATTATTTTACAAATATTCCTAAAATATTAGAGCAAGATAAATTTTTTAATTCACTTTTCCTATGAAGATTCTTCAATTGATAAGAAAAAGTGATACATTCTATTAACGTTTCAAAACGTAAATACTTTTTTTAAGAATCGATGAATGTTAAATTGATTAGACATGAAACACATTAATATGAAAAATGTTATAAATATTTTTATAACATTTAATAACATTTAAAACAATACAAGTGGAGCCAAAATAAAAAAAAATATAAATATCGATTCAGATAATTAATAAATGTATAATATTCCATTTAAAAAGTTGGTATTTTTTATCACTATATCATTATCAATAAAAGAATCTTTCTAAGTTGAAATCATGTTGTTGCAGAAATCTTGGAATAATTGTATAAATATTACTTTCCAAACACAGGAAGCTGTCTTAGCACACAAGAGTAAGAGTTTGATTATAGCTCTCAGAATGGTATAATTATTCTAAGTAAATACAAATGTAAATAGTATATATAGGAAACAAAAGGCTTTCCTTAAAACAGTTGTCAACGACAATGAACAATTTTTCTATTATAAAAATTTGAAAAGTTCTTGAATATTCAATTTGTATATTTGGAAATATCAATGATTAAAAATTTTTTATTAGCTATATAACGCGGAAGTAGGAGCTTATTAAATTTCATATGAATTATACATGCAGTAAAAATTGTAAAATTGTATAACAGCTTATTTGAAGCGATTATTTTTCCCTAAACTTGATTCAGTAAGTCAATAGGTTTATGATTTAAATAAAATTAAAAAAAAAATACGGATCAACGCGTGTATCAAGTATTTGTGCAAGCAATCATTACAATAAGTGTTCAAAAATTCGACTATAAAAATTAGTATATCTATACATATTGACTAATTGTTAAAACAAACGATCCTAAAAGTTCATTTAAACAATCAGCATCATTATCACTTTAATATTTAATATATTAGATTTTGTTTAATTGTTATAATTATTTGAATATTGTTGATATTTTTTCCTTGTTGCATACAGACACTCTCCTTCGCCGAATGGTAAGCAATGAAATAGAAATAGCAGATTAAAATAATCTTACAGATGATTTATATGCATACATACATAAATATCAAATTTTAGTCTTCATTTGATATCATTTTTCTCATTCTTTCACAATTTTCCATAACATAATTTATTAATTAACTTTTTCAATAATATAACACATTTAACATAATAAATCACAATATTATCATAATTGGCTAATTATAATAAAAAAATAAAAATAATAATGATAATGATAATAATAGGACATTATAACAGGAAATAATTGAATAAGGTGAAGGAAAGCGCTGTCATAACTTACAAAGAACATTTGTATTTAACCGTACACTTATTTGAATAATTTACAACATAACATACAAAAACATATTTTATAACGTAGAAAAAAAATATATTGATCTCAACATTATAAACATTTACTTTGAAATTAACAATTGAAAATGAAAAAGAAAAAAAAATAATTAGAGCCAATTAAGTAACTTAATGTTATCTTAATTATTCAAATAGTCGCGAATTATGGTAAGTAAATCCAACTATTGAGAAGTATTATAATAAAATAAAAAATCCTGTTACTGAAGAAAAATGTTTAGACCATTTCATTCTGTCCGTTCAAAATGTTGCCATTGTTGACATGGATAAGCAATTCCAGCGCCTTCATTTTCCATTATTTAACACAACACAAACACTTTGAATCAGCAATTAAATAGAATACTTTTGACAAATAATCTTTGATATTTTTCCCTTTCATTACTTTTTACTTAAATGTAACAAATTAATTAGTTTTTGTCTTCTATTAATTGAGTACGCGAGTTTTATGTATATTTTTATAAGATAACTAAAAATTAAATTCATGAATAATATAAAAATAATAAACATAAAAATTGTCCTCCGTATATTGCAGCTGCATCAATTATTTTAGTATCATATTTGTAGTGATCAGTACTGACTATCATTAGTATTAAAAGCTACAACAAATTGGATTCAGATTCTGCATTGTTTGATTATAATTAATGCACGACATTTGACATCAATTAATCAAGTTATCTGATGTAGTTTATACACAAACATTTAATTAATAAATATTAATATTTGTATTTATAATAAATGTTAAACATTATAACAATCCTGAATATAATATGGTAATATCGTAACTTTCTTTTTTTTTAACATATTTTTATTATTTATTCAGATAACAAATAATAAATAAATGAATTATTAGATTTGTTGATGTGTTTATGTAATTAAATAATAATTAAATTTATGAATACTCACCACGGCTTTGATTATATCCAGCTTGCCATCCAGCATAATATGCAGCTTTTTGCTTTCCATGTTCTTCAGCTATTTTAACACTAAGTGGTTCTGAACCTCCTTCTGGTATTGTCCCGTGTAAGTGATTTATAGCTTCTTGTGCTTCTTCACGCTTATCATATCTACAATAATAAAAACAAATAAGAAAAAAATTAATAAATATGAAAATATGCTTCTCTGTGGCGTGAATTAAATTTCATCTGATGTTGTAATAGAATGTTTTCAGTAAGTGTTCGTTACAGATTTGATCAATTAGCTTTTTGAGGAAATCTAGGTCACTTATAGTACAAATGTAAAATGAAAATTGAGTACGGGGATATTTAAGCCAGGTAATCTGGCAGAAATACTCTGGCACCGAACAAGTTCGTGCAATAAATATATGTGCTCTATGAACACAGCTAGTTGGAATAGTATAAAGGTTGAATTTAATTTCTCGACACGCAGCTGTTGGTCACTTTTTGACTTTTATCCAATTTCTTTAAGATTAGTATAAGAATAATAGAATTTATATACATGGTGATGAAAGATATGAACAACCTACCTGACAAACGCAACACCTCGGGGTAAACCAGTTAATTTATCTTTAAGAATATTCTTCTGTACAATATTACCAAATTTACTGAATATCTCTTCTATCTGACTTTCCGTTATATTTCTACAAAGTATTAACTTATATTAGTAAAGAATACCAATGTTTGTTAAATTTTATATTCTCATTTTATACCTAGGAAGATTTGTAACATAAAGATTAGTTTCTTTTATTTCTTCTCCAGAAGGTCGAGCAAACGAAACTTTTAAACGTTTGTTTTGAACCTGCAGTCCATTAAGTGTATTTATTGCAGTGGCTGCATCTTCAGCTTTTGCATAATTAACAAAACCAAAACCATAACTATATCCAGTCTGTAACAACATAAAAAGACGTTTGTATATAAAATAATGAGTGAAAAAATAAATAAAATATTTGAATACTAACTTTGTAATCTTTCATTACACGACAAGATTCGACAGGTCCAATAGTAACAAACATACTATAAAGTTCTTTTTCTGTCATACTTTGAGGTAAATAATTGATAATAAGATTTGTCCGTGGTTCTTCTTTTGATTGTGTATTTTGTTGTTGGTCATTTTGTTCGCTCATCTTGAAATAATATTGGACCGAACAATCTGTATATCCACTAAGTAGATGGAACTTTGGTATATCCTAAAGAGTTTAAGTTACTCCCACGTTGAGATCCAATGTAGTTTGATGCTATTGATACAGTGATGGTTGTGATAATGATGATGATGACTGAATGGCCCAACTGTGATTGTACCAGTGTAGTAACCATCGACAAGGTCGGCAAATACAAAAAATATAAACAAATGCATTACTACTTTTTTTTCCCGGATTGCGGTAGAGTGGTCATTGAATCTGTTTGATTCTTTTTTTTGATTGATTTATTTTTTTAAAGCAGTTGAAAATTAATATAAAATAAAAATGCATAATACATGACGTCAGACCTGGATATCAGAAACAAACAAACAAATGCAAGTAAGGATAAAAAATGAGTAAATTCACAAAGTCTAATAATGACACAATCAACAAAAAGTAGATCTTAGGTTATGCTTGTCAATATAGCCATTTAAATCTTTCAATAAATATTAATTTAAAAATTTGATTGCTTCGAAATTTTTAGCAGCTAATTCATTGATACGTATTATAAATATTTTAGCTCACTAAAAATGTTATTATGAAAAAATAAAACATGAATTAATTAATTATTTAGCTACATATATACGATTTAGTAATTGTATAAATGTTTCTGAATGAAATGATTATGACCAATTCACGTAAATGGAATATAATATATTTATTAGGCATAGTTTGATATTATCACTATAATATTTACAACCACACGTTTTGTAATATCATTATGAAATATAATAAATAAATAAGGAAAGAAAATGATTAAAACTCAAATAAAAACTCACTTATAGACATGAATCACGGCGCAAAGACCCGGGAAAACGCGGGTGTATCCAGGCAAACTCGTGAATCGACCAAGCTGTCAGACGCTGGTGGGAGAAGAAGCAACGCGACTGAACGCGACAGAAAGAGAACAGCCAAAGTGGGGGTAAAATGAGAGAGAAACTATAAAGAAGGGGAAATTTTAGCTATAAAATTGGAGAAAGAAAAAGATAGAATGACTAAAAACAAAAAAAACAACGAAAATTTATGATGGTAAATAAAGAGAAAGATATCAGTAAGAGTATGAATAAGAAAATAATTTGAAAAATAACACAAAACTCACTCACATTACCGCGAATTCAAGTGTACACGAGCTAATTCATTCGAACAATATTATTATATAAGCATTTATTCATATTGTGACAGTACATTTGTTGTCAAGTTTTCTTTCACATTCACTAAATTACTGACCAATTTTTAGTCATACAATCCACTCTTGTAGACGCAAATAAATGTATAAACACTACGCAACATAGATGAATTATACCAGTTAGACTTGAGATGTCGCACGTACACTTGCTAAAAATCACATGAAATAATGCTAACCGATTGTCTACTACTTACAATGTACGCAAACGTACGATGCAGTACTATACGGTATAATATGACCAGCAAAACTGAACAGAATCATCAGAGCTCACCGTAAACGCGAGCCCCAGCCCTGACCTGCCTCTAGTAATCTACGCAAACACCCCCTTACAAGCTACCTTATCCAACTATTTACTTTACAATAATAATCATTTATTCAAGCAACTCTATTCTTTTTTTCAAATCTTCGTCACAAACTAAAAATAATTCATTAAAGTCAAAGATAAATTATTTTGATAACAAGATAATCTGAAATTGAATAATCAGTGACATAGATTACTTTTTGGCAAAATAGAAGAATCTGAAATCTAGATTTCAGCGGAATCCAGTGTTTGTAATAATAGTTGAGTACATATTTATTTCATCAGTGTATATATTTATATTTATTAATTTATTCACATTCTCATTGATAAAGTGAAAACAATTGACTATCAAATATTCTGCAAAAGATTTAAAAATCTATTCTATATGAAGTAAATTTTGATGCTAATTATTCTAGACGTCAATCAATAACTACGTAGAAATGTTATATTTCTATCAAACTGGAGTTTAAATAAAATAAAAATGTCGATTAAAATAGATTTGTTTTTTTTGTTCAACCTGGAAGCAATATAGTTTTATTTGAATAAAGTTAGTGTATACATAAAAATTGATTGAAACTTATGCAAACAAAGATGTAAAAAAAAGGTTATCACATAAAAATGAACTTCCTTCTGTAAAATTGAAACTTGAAATGCGAACATTTATACATTTTGAAAGAATTCATTTGATTTATTATATAAAATTGATTTTCTAAGTACTCATAATTTGTTTTTTCAGGTTTTTTTTAATTGAATTATTTATTTATCTTATTGTATACTTAAAAAAATAAATTCACTCATATTAAAATTACAAAAAAATACTTTACACATATAAAAGTAAAAAAAAAAAAATGTAAGATGAAAAAATATAATTCATATTGATGATACAAATGATTTAAAAAATGTATTCATACATTTGAATGTACATAATAAATAGTTTAAATGATTTTTAATTGTCTACTTTCAACAGTCAGTGATAAATAGTTGAAGTAAATGATTTAACAACTATAAATAAATAATTGACAAATGTAAAATTATTTGTCGATGAAGGCATTATGATAATATTTAAAAATAATAGGCAAGCTTATTAATACACGATAGTATCAGTGTGAGCATTATTAATCCATGTATAGATGTTTATCTTAAACTGGTGAAACCTCGTGTTTTTATGAAACAAAATGATCGAGAAGGTTCGCGTGTACGGTTTGATTTGGATGAAGCGGATGATGAAGTGATATCTTTGTTTTCTTTATTCCACGCAGGTGATGCTGGTGATTCAATACCAAATGGGCTATATAGCTTGGTTGGAGTACGTCCTAATAGATGCTTTGATCGAGTTTGTGGTGTAAAAGAATTACAAGCTGTTGGTGATTGTTGTTCATCTAGAATTTGCCTTCGACGTGTTGAACTACGGAATTTCTATAAATAAAAAAATCATAAATAAATAAATATTGATTTTTATATTCATAATGACTAAAGGATATCAAAAACTGTAACTTGATCATTTTTCTTTTAATTATTAGTTGTGTAATAAATAAAATAAATGTTACTGTACTTGAGAAATGGTCCCAAATGTTGTTCGAACCGACAAAATAGTTTTAGACAATTTTTCTGCTCCATTACGTAAAACACGTCTTGAATCAGCCGAAACAGAACTTAAATTAATGTTATTCCAGCTGTGTTTACTGCTTTTTTTAGTAACCACTGTTCTTTCTTTTGTATTTTCATAATTTTTTTCTTTATCAAATCGATCTTGCAGTCTTTGACGAAAATTTCTTCGTCCTCGTGATATTTGTGGAGAATTATGATCAGTTAATGCTTGCCGATGAAAAGTAAATGAGATGCTTCGTGTGTCAGGACGCATTTTGTCTTTTTTGCTACAAAAAAAAAATAAAAAAATATAAATTTTTTTAAATTGTAGAAAAATAATTTATCAAAATATAATTACCTGTATAGAAATGTAAATTTTACGATTTATTTCTTCGTAAAAAGATGATTTACCATCAATGTAACAGTAGACTGAACAATTATTAACGTACACAAACCGTTAAAATGCTGTTTAAATTACTTCTATCAATTCAATACTCAACCAATGTTAATATATTTTATATATATGCGTAGATTACAATTGTATTGTAAACTTATTTACTTTTATATTTTAAATTGGTCCATTTATATTAATACTAATCGGTGCTAAATTGATGACTACGTTACAGATCTAAAGTTTGTCCTATAACCTACCCCTATTTTTGACGGTTTAAAACTAGTCAAACCGTCAAAACTTACTAGAACACCGCATTGTATATTAAAGTCCTTTCTTTTGTGTTTGGATGCGCAGAAGCTAAACGCATACAAAAAATAATATATATACAAACTATAGTAAAAATTGATAAACTGCAGTTTCATGAAATTACAGCTTAAAAATGTCCAGCTGAGTTATGTATACAAACATGTTTATTATTTACTCCAAACAACTGTTTGAAGTCAGATTACTTTTTTAAAATTTCATCAAAAAATACTCATTTAAATATATTGATGAATTAAAAAACAGATAGTATCTTAAATATATTAATTAATCTTGTTCTGCTAGCATCTTAGTGTTAACTTCCACTTCATTTAACTCGATATCAGGTTTGTTTTCTATCAAATGATTGATGATTGTTGCACCAAATGTGTCTGTTACAATATTTACTGTTGTTCTTAGTCGATCCCTGTATAAAATAAATTTAGTAAAAGAATTTATTACAAGTTTTATAATACGTAGGTGAGGAATTAATAGAATATTTATATTGCAACCCACACAAAACAATCGATGATAATAATGAATGTAACATCTTCTGCAGGAATTCCAATAGATTCTAGTACAACAATCAACATTGCATAACCACCATTTGGTAATCCTGCTGCTCCAATACAGGATACTGTACAGGTAATACTGAAATCATTTATAAACATTATCAGGTTAATGTGCATAATCTATTATAAGCTTTTCTATTGATTTGTTTATATAAGTCGTTCATGTAAAATTTGTAAAGTATTTTATCATGAATAAATAAATGTAAACTTACGCTAGAGCAATGACTTGTAATAATGAAAAATGCAATCCTCGTTGTTGAACTAAAAATATTGCTCCAATCGTTTCATACAATGCAACACCATCCATATTTATTGTTGCACCAATTGGAACCGTAAATCTTGATACTCTTGGATTTACACCAATATCATCGAGACACTTAATAGTCATAGGAACAGTTGCTGTGCTATAAAGCAAATGATTGGAAATAATTCATTCAATACAAGTCACCGAGATAAAACAGTTTAAATAAATAGTCACTTTGATGATTGTGGACATTATAGTAAAATTAGAATTATTTGTTAAAGTACCTAGAAGAAGTTCCAATAGCAGTAATTATAGCTGGCCCTATTTTTGAGAAAATATTTAAAGGTGATTTTCGTGTACAAATAAAATATAAAAGAGGTAATACAATAAAACTATGAGTTAGCAATCCAACAATTACTGTGATAACGAGCATTCCTAAATTCGATAACATAGTTTGGATATTTTCTGTTTGTAATAATTTCCCAGGTATTAAAAATAAAATACTTAATGGAACAATCCTAAAAAAATATCTAAATCAATAAATTTGTAAAAAGAATATTAAATTTAAAAATTTTATGATGCAAATTAAGAGAACCTTATAACACCATTCATCATCATCATAGTAGCTTGAGAGAGAGCTTTAAAACAATCAGCCAAATATTTTCCATCATCATTTAAACATCCAATAGCTATTCCAACAATTAAACTAAAACCTACGAGTCCTAAGACATTGACTCCATCATTATATTGATGAGAAATTTTCCAATAATGTATATCTAAAATCATAATAATTTTAAATTTCATTGATTTTTTCATTTTTAATCAACAAATTTAATAAAATGTAATTCATTATATACCTTCAGTAATATTTTCGGATGGTAGCAGAATAGTTTGGTACTGATGAAATAAATAATACAAGATTATTTTTAATAAACTTATATTGAATACTTATTTAATAACGTACCTGACTCAGACAAGTCTTTACAATATTATCAGAAAATAAATTCCTGTTTAAACAATTTAATGTAAATATATTTATTAACTAATCAAAGAAATAAATGAAATTAATAAATTAAGTCATCAACACCTTTTAAACATACCGTAAAATATCTAAAAATGTATCAACTGTTAAAAACTTTCTGTTTAAAATTAAAGTAGAATCAGAATTAGAATAAAATTCACCAGGGCGAATAGTTTCTGTAAGTACAACAGCTAAAATAATACCAAGAATCGTTGTCGTACTATAATAATATAACGCTTTCAACCCAATACTTCCTGATTTACTTAAATCACAACTTGCACTTATGATACTTGACACAATCAACGGTAAAATCAAGCAATTTATTATTCTAAGAAAAATTTCTCCAGGAAATTGATAATACATTATTGCACGATCAAACCATGGTTGTGGTGTCAAATTTTTTAACATAATTCCTATTACAATCGCGACAATAATACTAGTTAATGTTAAAATCGTGTCCCTATGTTTTGTGCATTCAGACATTTTTTACAATACCAATAAATTACTAACACAAACACAATAAAAACGAAACAATTAGAAAAATTTTTTATAATTATTATTTTTTCTGCTCTCTGAAGATCGTTTTATCAATTTTATGACGTTTATGCTTTGATATAATTTTCTTTTAATCATAATCAATCGTGATAAGTAAATACCTGAAAATATTATCATAATTGTAAATAAAGATGAAGAAATATCTTGATAAAGCATTGATAATTTATGCTTCATACATGATTTAGTTTTTATGTTTTTTCTTTTCGTTATGTGATGAAGATGACAAAAAACTAGTTTGCTACTGATTAATATATTTTGTACTCGCATTGTTAACAGGATTTTTGTTTTTTTTTTACAGCTTACTCAAAGATACATATTATTATTATCATTAATATCTTACCGTATTCGATATTTACAATGTACAAGCAAATAAGCAATCAAAATGTATTTATTAACAAATAAACTGTAAGTCTTTAAAATATCCTTGGTGGCACGTTGGTTGCATATTAATCAATTAATTTCTTGGTATGTTTACTAATGAAATGACATTGTAAATCTCATTTATACGTTGTAAACATATTTTCTTATAAATTATTGTAAGTGTATTTTTTATAGTTGAATTTAAAATATTTACTTTATGTAGTCGATATTACTTTTACACATAAAGGCAGTCAAATTATATTTTAATAAATTTTCTACATTTATGCAATATTTTATACTTCAATATGTATATTTAATTTATATTAAGAAAATAATTATAGAATAATAAAAGTTCTTATAGTAATTAAATGATATTATTTGTGTATATATAATTTTTATACAATTATACATGATAATTAGTCAAAAAATGTACAAATACTTCTTTTTTTATAACATAAAATATACTATCGAACTTTTATTATTTTACTTTTCTTACACTTTTTACATCTGATTGTTATAGTCTCGTTTTCATTTTGAGGCCATAATTAATCTAAAAAAAACTTGATTACATACACCAAATATCCCACACATTATATACATTTATGTATATAATTTATCTCCGTCTTTAAACTTTTTGTTTATTTTATTGAATTTTTATATGTAAACATTTAATAGAATCTAACAATATTCCAACAATTTTATCCTTATAAAAATTAAACAAACTAGAATTTATTCATCATAATGAAACGAAAATAAGTAAAGTGCTGAATACTTGAAATAGACATGAAATAAAATTAATATTATGATTATGTAAAATTAAAATAAACATATATAAAAAAAGTGATTGATATTTTTTTTGTATTAAAAAATAGACGGATTTAATGTTAATAATCCGCTCAAATACCTGACATTTTCGTTTATATACTTATTGAAACTATTTAATATTAATATCACAAAAATTGAGAATAAATACTCTAAAGTACAAATTGATAATTTTTCTTATAATATAAACTTGATACATGGCAGTATTTAATTAGTTATTTATATCCTTCAAGATATTCAGCACTATTTAAACACAAAAATGAATTGATAATGAATAAATAAAGTAAATTGAAATGTACTAAATCATGAAGGTTTACAAGATGTTAATTTTTTAACATTAATACTCGAGATCGATTTACGCCAACGACGTTTAATATTGCCCGATGATTTAGTTGGATTACTGTTGCCTGATAAGCTCTTTTGATCTCCGTTGTTTTGATCATACTCAGCAAGTCGTCTCTCTTCTAAAAATATTTTATTGTTAATTTTATAATATTAATATACAATGTAAAATAATAATAATAATGTTTTTATTAAGAACTTGATTAACAAAATATTATTTCTTAATGAAAGAACATTATTGTGAGATTACCGCTAAGTTGCCTTGCTGTATAATAAATTGGTTCTTCATCAATCCCATAATAATAATCCATCAAATATGGCAGTACAGTCATTTTATGATCCTTAGCACCTTTGAGAGGAGGAATTGCTACCTTATCCATTGTTCGTTTTGGTTGGAAGATAGTCCATGTATGATGTTTCACTTCTTGCAAAGTAAATCGTTTTTCAGGCTCTTTTTGCAACATTCCTTGCAGTAATGATGATAAATCATCTTCTACTTCTTCAGGTATTGTATAATATCCTTTTCCAATATTTTCGTATAATTTATAAATATTATCACCTTCAAATGGGTAAATTCCCGTAGTTATATTATATCTGTTTCATAAAAAAAACCATATGTTAAACAATACTACATCAATTGTTATGAAATAATAAAGATCATTGAAAAAACATTACATACAAAGTTACTCCACTACTCCAGATATCTACTTTGAAGCCTGCAAATGATTCACAGCCATTTGCTATTTCCGGAGGTTGAAAAGCTGGTGTACCTTGTCCAATTGTACAGGTATCATCTTTAGCAAAGATATCAAATGCCTATTTTTAATAGTTGGTCATTCTATTTTTTTTAGAGTAATAATAATTACATGATAGCATAAGTAAAACTATAGAATACCTCTGCAACACCAAAATCAGTAATCTTTAAAGTTTCATCAAGAGTAAGTAATAAATTTCCAGGTTTTATATCTTTATGTATTATTCTTCTGCTATGAAGATACTCCAATCCATCAAGAAGTTGAGTAAAATATCCATGTGCTTGCCATATGGGAAATTTCTTATTAAATGAACTTTCCAACATATCCTATAATGTATTTTATTTAATTAATAATTATTAAAACTTGGTACAAAAAATTAAGGTTTATTTACTGTACCTGAAGCCCACAAATACAAAACTCCATGACTAAATACATTTTTTCTTTCTCATCATTGTACAATACATCTATTAGTTCAATAACATTTTTGTGCTTTAATCGTCTTAACAATTGTATTTCTCTGAAAAAAATAATTACATATGTTAAGTGAATTAAAAGTATTATTATCTACTTAAAAAATTAAGTAACTAACAAATTAAATAACAAACCTTTGTACATTTTGTTCACCATTAGGTATTCTCCGGAGTTTTTTTCTTTTCAATATTTTAACAGCTCGTCTAAAGAGTGTCTCTGAATCAAGAACTTCCTTCACTTTACCATAACTTCCTTCTCCTAATAAATCACCCATAACATATTTTTCACCAATAAATTTGAATTTTCGTCTTTTCTCAGTATAAATTATTTGATCTGAATCAACTCTATGGAAGAAATTGTTGATATCATCAGGATCAAATTCGAGTTCATCATCATCATCATTGATCCACGTTACTGATGGGATATCAGCAAAGATTTCATTATCATCTATTTCATTCTGATCTTGGTTATATCCAATATTATTGTCCATTTTTATAAATACTTTATGCACCAAAATAAATTCATTGAGAAGCCTTTTTATTTAACCTAAGATTCAACCGGCACCAATAGACAGTAACCTCTATTTCTGTCATTTTTGTGTTGTTATGTGCATATGACATTGTATGAAAATTCTCTATTACACTAATATACATTATAAATTTTCAAGTATTATACATAGACATTTAGAATACTTACACACATGTGATTTCTTAAAATTTAAAAAGATGTACAATAACAGCATATATAAGATATTATCATTTAATTATATGTATTACAGCTTGCATGTATATGTATAAATTTTAGATACAAAATTTTTGTTATAAATATAGAACTACCAAAGTAAACAGTAAACTTTAAGGTGTATACACACCCTACTACGTTACAGAATCTATACTTAATACTACAGTCAAGAAAGTAGCTCCAATTATTGCACGTTTATTATTACTTTTTTATTTGTTGTCAAAATACGTATACATCATTTATGTGTTGTATATCTTTATTTTTTCATTATCATTAATATGCATATGTTGATAAACCTTTAAGTATTGATAAAAACACTCAACACATTTTAAACTGAATAAATAATATAATAAATATGGATAACACTTCAACTGATGAATTGGAACAAGAAGAATTAAATCTTTCCAGTAGTTTAGTTGAAGAACAATCCCATGAATCTCAGGAAGAAAATGAAGAAACACCGAGAGCTGAGGAAGAACATAAAGAAAAACTTTTAAAATTACCTGTTGGTCGAGTGAAAATCATTGCAAAAATGGATTCTGATGTTAATTTGATTAATCAAGAAGCTCTTTTTTTAATTACCAAATCAACGGTAATTTAAAATAATGCTCATATTAATCTTTTAATTGTTTAGTTATTTATGATTTCATGATTGAAATTTCTAGGAATTATTTATTGATTCACTTGCCAAAGAAGCCTATAAGTATACAGTACAAGCAAGGAAGAAGATATTACAAAAAAGAGATATACATCAAGCAATAGATAATATCGATGCTTTAGCATTTTTAGAAGGAATGCTTGAACAAATAACATGAATATTTGAGTGAAAATAATAAAAATTCTATCATATTTAATCATATTATTTAAGATATTATCATATTCAGTTTTCTCAGGATAAAAATAATAAATACATTTTATATAAAAAAAATTTTTTCATTCATTTACTTCTTTACATAACAGAATAATATGAGATATTCAATATTTATTCAGTAATTATAAGCCCTTGGATTAAAAAAAAGTTATAATTTTACAGATGAGCAGATAATTTAGCTGGCATTAATACGGTAAAGCGCTCTACTAAAACAGGAATAACGTACAGTTCATTTGCGCTTTGTTTTACGACGACGATTATCGGTTTTCGAAGCTTGATCTTTTGTTGAATTGGTTTTATTCTGGTTGTATAAATTATTTAAGAAATCTTCCAGATCAGCATCACTAAAAATAATACATACCATGAAATTAAAGCATTTTAATAGAAATAATGTAAATATCAAGCAAAAAATATTCATACGTTGCACTAGAATCCGTTTGTTGACGCTTTTTATTACTACCACTAGACATTTGAGTTGAAGGACGTTGACCCAAAACAATACGATATTGAACACTATGTGTATTAGCTCTCAAATGTTTAAGATTTCCTGCTTGACAAGCAGCCCAGTCTGTTACATCGTAGATCGCACCTTCCATACATGCATAATAGTGCCATAAAAAACCCATAATTCGTGATTCAGCCCAAATATCACCCTATCAATAAATAACATGGTTAAAATAATATTTAACCAATGCATGTGTAAATACCATTAAAATTTTTATTATGATAATGAAAATAAATAATGAAAAATAGTCAACCTCTTTTGCACTATGCCGAATTTTACACTGAGCGCAAAATCTTGCAGCATAACAAGGTCTCTGAGTAGGAATTCGTTTATGTCTCAAGCCACAATTTGTACATCTAATAGTATTTGCCGCCTGCTCCATTTTTCGATGTAACTGAGATATAAGATCACTTAATTCTCCCCAAGCTGCTTCCACTTGTCTAGTTTGATCAAAAGCTTGCCTACGCTCCTAAATAGAAATAAAATAAAATCAATACAAAAACCTTTATGATAATAAATGAATAAATAATGTCAAAATAACTTACTGATTCTCCAATTATATCAAAAGCATGAACGAGAATTTTAAAAGCTTCTTCAGCACCTGGTTGATTATTTTTATCTGGATGAACTAAAAATGCTTGACGTTTATAATACTTTTTAATATCATCATCAGGACATGTTGGAGTAACACCTAATATGCTATACGGATCTTTTCCTTTACAAGCCAATAATCTTTTCATAGCTTCTTCTCCAGTACTTGGCAATGCAATGTTTGCTTCTAATCCACCTTGAATCCAATTTGTTTTTTCCTCTTTACCAGGCTTAGTATATTTTATTCGACGCCAAAATGCAAATTTACTACTACTATCGAACCAATTATCAATACGTTTTCCTATTGCTTTTAAAGTATGCATTTTAGAGAATGTAGATACAACATAGTTACATGAGTATTTAAAATATAACAAAGTGTAAAACCATATATACTTAACAAATTGAATTACAAGATTTATACTCATACTCAATACATCTGATATTAAATGTAAGAGCCAATGGAAAATTTTTAAACCAACTTTACTCCAACGATTAACATATTTATTTAAATTTTTATATAAATCTTTCATCGGAGATTCTTTACAGTCTCGTTTACGGTTTTTCTGAATTTTTTTTATTTGTTGAGTTTTTTCAGCATGAGAACGTTTTGAAGTTTTCTCTCGAAATACTCTCTTATCTTCTTTGTTATTTTTATTATTTACATGTTGATTTTTGTCTGTTTTATCGGTTGTAACTGTCTGATTTGAAATATTTGAATTACCATTATTGCTGTTATTACCATTATTATTGTTGTGGTTATTGTTATTAGTAGTATTATTATTCACTTGAAATGAACGTTTTAACACATTATTAGTTACCTTAATATTACCATTTTGAACTTTACTATTATTTAAAATATCATTTTTCTCATTCTTTTTCGATACTTTAATATTCTTTCGTTTCTCAAACTGATCGGATTTATTAAAATCATCAATTTCATGACATTCACTTTGAACGCCAAGATTATCTAATGAAACCCAACGTCTTGAGAGATTGGAATAATTTTTTTCCAATATTTTTTTAGGAATTTGCATCTTCGGTGAACCATGATCATCACTTCCTGAGGAGTTTTGTCTTTTGAGTAAACTTAATTTATTTTTATTCTTAGAATTTTTTCCATTAGTTTTTTTACTTAAAGGATCTGATGATGATCTCATAGGCAGTATAATATTAAAAGGAGATGCAGAAGGGGGAATTGGAGGAGGTGGTGATGGTGGTGCAGTTTTAGTTAAAACAGATGAATATGACGGCCTCATGGGTTTCACTTCAGCAACTATTCTATGTTTTTTTTGTTGAGTATCAACAGGCGGAGTATTTTTTAACAGTTCTTCAGGTTCATGGTTTTGATTCGTTGGATGTATTGAAGGAACATCAGAAGATCCACCGAAAGGAGTATAAGTCCCAGATTGATTTGGTACCCAGTTACCCACAAGATTATCAATAATTTGTCTGCCATTTGTACTCTGATTAGAATTATTATGCTGTACTGTTATTCGTTGATCATTGAATAGCCCATATTCTCTGTCTATTACTCCTTGGTGATTTATAAATGATGGTAAATTATTAACCTGACATTGTTCTGTAACGATTTGTGAAGCATTTCCATATATAACATTAATATACTTTCCTCCACCAACATCAATCATACCTATTAAATCGTTATTTTCATTAATACCTAAATGATTGACTGACTGAGGAGAAATATATATTGGATCCCCTGTATTTGTATTGTAAGCTGCGATATCTTGCATATAAATTGGAGCTGATACGGGATTCATTGATGGTAAATTTGGAATTTGATGTAATGGTTGATTCATCAAATAATCTCTTTCACGATTTGCTAAGTAATCTCCCCAATGTGGTGACACTGTTTGTAATGGATTAACACCAAATTGTACATAATTTTCGCTTGAATTTTCTAAACCTGCTGTCATTGCTTCTATTATTTTGTCCAGTGGCCTACATTTTAAGTCAGAAGGCGTTTGTTGCCGTTCTGCCATCTCTTCACTTACTTCTATAACATAAAAAATAGCTTAATAAAAATCCAATATTTTGTTTATATTTGAATAGCTTATTTTATTAAGTAAGCATAAATTAATTATTCAACTAGGACGATTAAGTATAAAACAAAAAAATCAATAATATAATACTTTCAGCTGTTTTAAGACTGAATCACCTTCTTAATCATACATTGTTTAAATTTTTCTATCCAGCACGTGTATGTTAGATTATCTTTTATTTAATAAGCATCGGATAAGATTTACTGTGTAATGATTTTTAGAATTATCTCATACAGCATAATGTGAAAGTAACATGCTACTGTTGAAGAAAGGAAAAATTTCATCATTATGATCGAGATATGTAACAGTAAAACGTGCATCAATGTTTACACCAAAATATGTATGAGATATTTTGATGTTTCTAAACTGTTTATTACAAATGTATACACTTAAATCATAACTCATCACAATAACTTAATTAATAACAAGTTGACAATACTTATTTTCCAAATTAATATATATACATAAAAAGGTAAAGAAATATTAATAACAAACCATGCGGCAAGTGAGTATCAAATTATGTAGTCATTACTTTATGATAAATAAGATTTCACTAATAAAAACGTCAATGTTTGTTTATTAAATCCTTTATGATTGCATTTTTATAAACATTTTGACAATAAGTTAAATGCTTTACTTATATGAGTAATACAATTTTCACTGCAACTTACAACTTACCAAAGAGAAACCTGAGAGAAAACAGAAGTCCATTTAACTAAAGTGACATACATATCGCCCCCTGTTCTACTTACATCATAACAAGTTACTTACAATTTTCCGCCATCTTGAAATATTAATGATTTTTTACAACAGTCGATAAAGAAGAATTGACAAACTCCGTTGTAATAGCGAAACGTGATCTCGTTTGATGGACAAATCAGAGTGAGTTGAAATTGAGAGTCTGTGACGGTACATATCACAGATAAGGTCATTCGGGTGTCTTTAAGAAGTTATTGGCTATTAAAATTAACAAATTTATACATTATTTCTTGATAAATTTTTAAACAACTTATTAAATAAAAATGTTGCCACGTCTTTTAAGACCTACTGGTTTAATTGCTCAACAAGGAGCTAAACAATTGTCAACCAGTACTCAGGTAATTAATTTTTGCAATATTTATTTCAATGAATGAACTTAGTTCATTCATGCTCGAGATAATTATGTAATTTTTAATAGCTCTTAAATATTTAATCAAACTATTTTAATATCATTTTTACTACGTTTAGAATATTACGATTGATTTCTGTTAAAAACCTCATTTACTTGAATTGCATGACATAGATTATGCAACTAAGAACATTTCGTTAATCTGTTATTGATGAATAAAGAACAAGTTCATAATTCACAATTTTTTCATCATAAACAAGACTTTTTCTTCCTAATAATTTATTTGTAATATTTAAATAATTCTTTTAATGGCAGAAATGATAATTGATTATTGTAACGTTAACTAATTATTTGTAATTTATGCTGATAACTTAATCTCATTTTTAATTCATCAGAGAAATGCCAAAGTTGCTGTTATGGGAGCCAGTGGTGGTATCGGTCAACCACTGTCGCTTCTTCTTAAACAATCACCTCTCGTAACTGAGCTATCACTTTATGATATTGTTAATACTCCTGGAGTTGCTGCTGATTTATCTCACATTGATACTCATTCCAAAGTCAAGGGATACACCGGTCCTGAACAATTGAAGGACTCATTGAGAGGTGTTCAAGTGAGTTTCCTTTTCAATCTTCTTATCTATTAGTACTTTTCAGTCATCAAAGTATTATTAATAAAAATGGTTTAATTTCAGGTGGTTATTATTCCTGCTGGTGTTCCACGTAAACCAGGAATGACACGTGATGATCTCTTTAACACCAATGCTTCGATAGTACGAGATCTAGCTCAGACTATTGCTGAAGTAGCACCAAAAGCATTTGTTGCGATTATTTCAAATCCTGTAAATAGTACGGTGCCGATCGCTAGTGAAGTTCTTCAAAAAGCTGGTGTATATGATCCCAATAGAGTATTTGGTGTTACTACCCTTGATATTGTTAGGTCAAATGCTTTCATTGGCGAAGCCAAGGTAAGATGTATTAATAGAAGTTTAATTTAGCATTAAGAAATTAGGTCTACTATTTTCTAAGTTTTTACCATCTTTGCAATTTTTAATATTTTTGTTTCAAAGAATTTATAAACTCAATAGTTTTAAAGTGAAAACAACATAGGTATATGTATATTTTTTTTTAATATTTATTTTCAATTCTGAATTTTTTTAGTTACGAATCATCATGTGTGCAATAACCTTGTTGTATGAAATTTAAAAATAACTTATTTGTTACAAAGTATACCTTATATAATTTCTTTTGATTAGATAATTACTTTATAACTGATTATTTTAATATTATTCGAATATGATTATCATTTACCAAGTAAATTGCAACAAACATATGTAAAGAAATTTTATGGTTTCTAGGGTTTGGATCCCCAAAAAGTTTCTGTACCAGTAATCGGTGGCCACAGTGGTATTACTATTATTCCTGTTATTTCACAAGCTAAACCAAGTGTGTCATTCCCAGATGATCAGCTTAAAGCTCTTACTGAAAGGATCCAAGAAGCTGGTACAGAAGTTGTCAAAGCTAAAGCGGGTACTGGTTCTGCCACACTTTCGATGGCTTATGCTGGTGCACGGTTTGGATTTTCATTGATCAAAGCACTTAATGGTGAACAGAATATCGTTGAATGTGCATATGTCAGATCTAATGTAACTGAAGCTAAATATTTCTCCACTCCTGTTCTACTTGGTGTATGTAAAAATAGTCCTTTATCATATTAATTTTATTCAATCAATTTTATTGTTAATAATTGATCAATTATTTATTTACAGAAAAATGGAGTTGAGAAGAATCTTGGATTGGGTAAATTGAGTGCTTTTGAAGAAAAACTACTTCAAGCAGCAATTCCAGAGCTTAAGAAGAATATACAAAAAGGAGAAGACTTTGTAAATAAAAAGTAAAAAGCTACTCTATAGCTGTATGAAAATAATAGAAAAATGATCATTTCAAAATGATAAAAATTTCTTGAAGATCCCATTTTACATCATACTAAAAGTTAAAAATTCCTGGCATTTATTGCAATTAGTATGAATCAAAAATGTTAATAAACTGTGAAATAGAATGATGAATAAATATATATAAATACACTATTTAATTGACGTATGTACATATCTTCTGAATACTCATAGTTTCATCGTTTGTGTTTATTTAGTAAATCCGGAAGAGATCATTATTTATATTATTTCAAAATCGATATTTGACTATTCAACAGTCAAGATTTTCATTTACTTATACTTACATACACGTGTATTCATAATAACTGAAGTGAGCTAGCAATTGAATTAATCAGTTTATTGAGACGCTAATATTTTATGGTAGTGTTAAAGTTATTCTGTTTGATTTAAGTTCACTTATTTACAATATAAATTTTTTTTGAAAATTGAAATTTATTAATTTTTTGTAACATTACTTGTCTAAATTAATGCTTTATTATTTTTTTTCTTTTCTAACGATGAATTTTTTACAATCTAAAAAGAATGTTCCCCAATTGTTATTGTTAGAATTTTATGAAAAAAATTACAATCCAAATGTATATCCAACAACTATATTACAATTGGAGTGCTTGAAATTAAATTTGAATAATTTACAAAAAATAGGTAATGAAACATAAATGAATATATAGATAAAAATAAATTTACTTTGTGAATCGATTTAATTTCTGTAGATCAAAAAATCTCAACAGTTCACAAAAATAAGCAAATGAATTCAGAAATAAAAAATAATTGTGATCATTCAAAAGTAATGAATGAATTATCCAATTTAACTCTCATCTTTCAACCAAAATCATGGATTCCGACCATTGAAGATAAAATGCCAATTAACTCATTAAATCCATCAAAAGATACATCAACAACCATGCAACTACCGTTTGATTCAATTTTGTATGCTCCATTTAAAGAGGTAAGTGATCATGAAGATATAGATTAGCAACATCAAATTCAATCATTAATATTAAGGCTATAGATAAAAATATCAGCAAAAATTCTTATTTATTTAATCGACAATGGTATTATACAAATTTGCAAAGACAAATTTCAGTGGTTCGTAAATGGATGATTGAAAATGCATTTGTTATCTGGATAAAAAAGGTAAATATAAACTTATTTACCTTCATATATAATTATTCTTCTAATTAAACATGATCTGATAATGAGATTTTTTTTACTCACAGAATTATAAGATATTTCATCAACTATTTGGTTTAATGTATGCTGAAGCTTTAAAAAAAAAAGAAAAATTATATAGTGTATTGTTGATTGGCCGTAATAATAACGAATATTCATTAAATATGATTGAAAATAAGATAACTAATGTAATGCAAGAACTGCACCAGGTAATATTAGATAATAAGATAACTTAACATATTTTTATCACTGCTTACAAATGATATAAAATAGATTCGTGAAGCAAATGAAGAAACCTTATCCGTATTGAAACAAGAAATAACAATACTACAAGATCATAATAAAACATTAACTAAAGAAATGGAGAATATATCAAATGTACTGGAAAATATTTCGATGAATATCAAATCAATTGTATCACAGCCCATGAAATCGATACCTGTTACCGAATTTTTAATACCTCCTCCACCTCCACCTCCACCACCACCAATGCCTTCATTACCTACGTGTTTTTCATTGTCCACCATACCGAAATTAACGAAAAAGAATAAAAACAGTCGTACACCGACTAAAAAATCATCAGAAGAACTACGACCAGTAATTACTGTAGAAGATCTTCTCAAAGTAAGGTTGAAAAAAGCACCTCCAAAAAATGAAAAGGTTTTTTTTTTAGCATATTATTTTTTAAATTATTTAACTGAAATTAAAATAAGATTATTCAATGCAATTATTTTATAGGAGAATGAGAAAAAAAGTGAAGCAAAACGTTTTGGACCAGTAGTTACTATCGACATGTTGAAAAAAGTTAAATTGAAATCTATCAAGTGTAAAAGCAATGAAAATGTAAGATTACCCCTTCGAACACTCAAGAACAATGAAAATAATAATCAAAGTTAATCATTATTCACATGAACTATAGTAGAAACAGTGAGTTTATTTAATTGAATGAGCTGAAAAAAGTGAATGAATGGCCATGACATAAAAAACTCATTAAAATTCAAAGAATTATTAGTATGTATAAAATACTCAATGCAAACTAAATCAATAATTTAAAAAATTACTAAGCATTGTAGTATTTACTAAACATACTGCGTTGGACGCTTCTAAAAACCTATAGAAATTGATTTTATCATAAAGATGGAAATCTTAAAATTGATGTATAAATATTTTTAAATTTTTGCGATTGCCATTGACAAATATAATCATGTAATGACGTACGTAAGAATCAAATTGATGGTATAAATAATACTTATGACGTCAAGAAATATTTATTCTTGGAATGCTACTAAAACCCACGTTAAATTATACATGACAATAGAATTTAACCATTCATAGGAATACAAATTATTAATTTACTGTTTACATTCAATGTTTATAGTAAATTAAGTCATTTGAAATTTGATTTAAAATCATATGTTAATTGTTTATATGAAATTTTTGTTTTTGATTTTTATAATTATAATTAAGTAAATAATATTAAAATAATAAAATAATAAAACGATGCTTGTATTTAAAACTTAATAATGTAATTTTGTTTTTATTTCCAATTACAATTTTTTTTATTTTGGTGAAATTTTATTATAATTTTTTTTTTATTCATACTTATTGATTACTATTCTATTTTAACATAAGTATTGATTTGAATAATTTAATGTTGATAAGACAAATTTTTTAAATGAAAAAAGTATATTTAATTTTTACGACAGAATATTCTACAGAAAAATTTATAGTTTATGTAAGAATTAGTCTTATTTGACACTTAATGGATAATATATAAAATTTGTAAAATAAACATAAATTTTTACAATAATGACAATTCCAGAATGAATAATACTTGATTGAATTTTTAAAGAATCGTTAATTAATTAATCTATATATATTCTTCGATTTAAGAATGGCTTTTTTAATTATATTCTTTATTTTAACTTAATAAAAAGATCTTTATTAGTCGCAAGGGATAATTTAATCAAAAACTAGCATAGCATAGAAGTGATTAAATGAATTATATTTCATGACTACAAAAAAATTTCGTCAAATGTACAATGTAAAAAGTTAACATTACTGAAATATAAATTATTTAAAAAAAAAAGATAGAAAGAGATCAACACAGAGTGAAAGAACAAGAAAAAGAGAGAGTGAAAAGTAGCAAGAAAAAGAAGATAATATTAATAACCCAGAATACATATAATCATTTATTCAGTTACCATTTCTTCAGACCACAGCTATCAGGAATACAGTTCACATAAGTGGACGTATGTAAATAAAGTACATTTGGAATTACACTCTACTATAAGCTTTTTTTTCATCACTTAGTATTTTTTATCTAAATTATTGTTGAAAAAAATTACACAAGTACCTAAATTGGCTTTGTTTTTGATAAGGATGAGCAATATTCATATGACAATTGATAATTTATATTTTAAATTTTTATTGTAGATTTACTATAAATGACCGCGACAGAAAAAAAACCATTATTAGTAATAAAACTTAATTAAATGGGAGATTTTACCATTATTTCATTTTTCGCAACATTATTTATAATTAATTAAAATTTCATTCAAATTTGTCATTAAAGTAAAGTAATGAATGAGAAAAAAATTAATTCGTTGCAATTTATTAATATAAATTATGTCAAATTTTTACCTAAAATAACTTAATTATCCCATTTGGAATATGTGGCAGAGACGACGTTGACGCGGATAAATTGCTCCATAATAAGCTCTATACTTTTTTTATTCCGATTACAGATGCTAGACTAACAAATACCGACGAAATTGTTTATTTATTGCAATGAGTTTGAGATCCTTAATTGTATTTATTGAATTATTTTAATTTTATTTTTACCACGATTGTTATTTTTTTTATCCGTTTCTCTTTATCGACATAAAATCACTAAAAGTTTTAGTATCATTTACAAATGACTTGAAATTGCGAGAGAGAATCTTCAACAAAAAAGGGAGAGCGTAGTTATCATGTATTTAATGACTTTAGGTAATAATAAGAAAGTGAGTCGCGAGAGGGAACATTTCTAACATTTATAGACTTGTAAATCGAAGAAAAAAAAATCAGGTTTATATTTTCTGTACTTATAATATTTGAAAAATTTTTTTTCTTAATAATGATTTTGCAGTTATACAGTTTTTATTTAATTATTCGGTTTAATTTATAATTTTTTAATTTAATATTACATAAAAGAAAAGTAAGTATGTAATTGAATAATATCATAATTCCAATGAAATAATTTATATAAATATTTTACATTTTTTTAGAGAATCAATTTTAATTTTTTTCACCATATCATAGACTGGTTGAAAAATAGATCGTAATTTCATCTTCGATATGTCAGAATGTTTAAATGTCTCTTCGCGCAAATTCTCACAGTAAAGTAACTGCCACAGTACAATAATACTCTGTGTGCTTATGATATTTTCATGCTTATGCATATGTAAATATTGTTAAAAATTTTTTTATTTTACTGTAAGTATTTTTGTTTTTTCTCATTTAAATTCAAATATTTTCAATTGATTATTTGTGAAATTAATTTTATGCAGATGTGTTTAAAATTATCACGCAATTATTTAAGATACCCTTTTTTTTTTCAATTCATATTTTCATATCCTTTTACACCCTCCCTTTAATCTTCTTCTTCACTGCGACTTTTTCGCTTTTTGAATTAAATTTATTTATTTATTTATTTTTTTGTATACTTAATTATTAAGAGTTTATTTATTGTTATTTTGTTGTTTTCTTGTATTTCAATTACATGCGCAATTAACACTCACTGGAACTAAAGTTACGATACATCCTGGTCATCCACATCTTGCGTTTGTTCCTTTTGTTCGCCATCACCTGTAATATACAAATTAATATTAATAAATACTAATAATTAAAATAATTAATTTTTCTTTTTTTTTTAATAAAAATAAACACAAAGTATCTATGAATATTTGAAGTAAAATTCACGATTGAATATCAGTTTTGAAATAATAAAATGTTAAAAATAAGTTATTTGTATAATGATTAGATAAGAAAAAATCTGCTTACCATCTCCTTGCATATCTGAGGTCCATAAAGTAAGATTGTCCCTGAGAAGTTGCATAATAAGGGTAGAATCTTTGTAACTCTCTTCAGAAAGGGTATCAAGTTCGGCAATAGCATCGTCGAAAGCTGCTTTTGCTAGACGACATGCTCTGTCAGGACTACTCAAAATTTCATAATAAAAGACAGAGAAGTTAAGAGCTAATCCTAAACGAATAGGATGAGTTGGAGGAAGTTCTGTCATTGCAATTTCACTTGCTTCTTTATATGCTATTAAAGATTTTTCAGCGGCTTCCTTTCTATCAGTTCCGATAGCAAATTCTGCCAAATAACGGTGATAGTCACCTTTCCTGTAATAACAATGTATTTTAAGTTAATTTTTATTTTATTAATTTGAAATTAATTAATAATTTGTGGAAAATCAAAAATTTATTTACATTTTATAATAGAAAACTTTTGATTCGCCTGTTGAAGCGCAGGGAATAAGATGTTTATCGAGTACTTCGAGTATGTCTGCACAAATATCTCGTAGTTCTTTCTCGACTTGAGATCTGTATTGACGGATCATTTCCAATTTTTCTTCCGCACCTTTATTTTCTTCTTTTTGTTCAATACTTGAAATTATCCGCCAAGAAGCTCTTCTAGCTCCAATAACATTTTTATATGCAACTGAGAGTAGATTTCTTTCTTCTACTGTCAGTTCAACATCCAATGAAGCTACTTTTTTCATTGCCTCGACCATTTCTGTAATATATTGATGTAGCATTTTATTAATAATAATAATAATTATTATTATAAATAAGTAAAAAATATAGAAAATTACATTCATTTTTCATTCTAAATTATATTTATGTGCCCTAATTATTACCTAGAATCATTACTAAATGAGAAAAAATATTCCCTAAATTATTATTGGGGAATCATGATAACATTTATTAAATAAATTTAAAAATGAGTGTAAAAAAATTAGTATAGAAACTTGTGGTATACAGGAACATAGAACAGCAAGTTCAGATCAATACTTTCCTTCAACTATAACCTCCCTTCTCTTACCCCTATTTTAAGCGCACCCTCCGTAGTTTTTCTCAACTCTCAAATTGAATCCCTACTCTTTTGCATCTCGTTTATCAATAAATTATAGAAATATTACGCTATTTTTTATTCAATTAACCATATAATATTTTATCCTACATAATAAATCTATTACATTTATATCACATTTTCACTTCTCTTTCTCTATATTGCTCTCTTTTTCTCTCTTACTACTCTCTCGCTCTTTTTCTACTTTTCTCTGATTTTTTTATGACCTAAAAACCTTGTCCACCTATAAATTAATTTTCTACTATCTTTACAATTGATTTTTTGAAATTTTATTTATAGAATAAAATCATTTATTAAGAAAAACACGAGAAATAATTTCATGATTATTCGATACTTAAATTACTCCAATTTATAAGAAAATATAATATATTTGTCTAAGAGAATTTAAAACATAGGAAAAGAAAATTCGAAAATTAGTAAAGAAAAAATATTCTAACATTGATGTTTAATTTTTCTCATGGTCGATTTCTCAAGGCCGAGGTCAGCAGGAGAGGTAAAGCAAGATAGAGCAAGAGTAGAGAGGAAAAAAGATGAAGGTAGCACAGTATTACAAAATGTCATAGGAAACCAATTCGATGATCCGATGAATGCCAGTGGTTAAATTAGTCTTTACAGAACTAAGAAAATAGATGAAATTATTTTACAAGAACTATATTTAAATTTTTGGTCCAGTAATATTTTCCTTGAAGCAATCTATTCATTTCCAAAACGTACATTATTTCAATATCTGTTCAAGTGAGTCAGACACTATAGTTTGAATACCGAAAAAGGTTCTTTTTCATCCGATGAACATTTAATAGCAGTAAATGAATAATTTGAAAATCCATTTTCTCAAAAGATAATGATTGGATACACTTGCCGGTATACATCACACGAATAAAAGTCATGACATGATGATATTTTATAAATCAATTTGAATATTTTCTGATCAAAATTACAAAATGGATTATTTAAATGTCAAGCATGCACCCCAATAGTCTATCCTAATTAGACGCTTTAACTTCCGGCATTCCTGTTGTATCCTGACGACAATATACCTGATGCAATGATAAACTAACTAAATAATGAGTAATAGAAAAATATTGATCAACACCAAATAAATTAAATAACAATGAAGATAAAATACATGAATAATTCATTGATATTTAAGTAATATAGATGGAATTGAATATAATATAGAAAATGAATACCGGACATATCCAGCAAAGATAAAAATGTGTGCTCACCATCATAGCGCTCCGCCTGCTCGGCAAGCTTCGCCTTGTAAACGTTATCTTCTCGTTCAGCCATTCTAAATGATAATTGACTGATATTTAAACCAAGAAATGATGCAAATAAGGTGGAAGAAACACACTAATTCAACGAGTATTAGCCACAAAGGATTGTTAATATCAGCCTCTCGAACTGCCGCTTGTGACTCCACTGACCAAGATGGCGGCGCCCGCCAACAATCGAAAGCAGTTCCTGATGAAGCGCAGAATCCAATGTTTGAGCGTCACAGACAGACCCTCCACTCGTATCGAGCAACGATGGTGTATTACTCCGCGTCGTATGACGTCACGTTTTGTCCGGAGAACCCGGGATAACACCTGCCAATGCAAGGAAGATACATATATCCATACAATCGAATCGATTTATACAGTATTATGTCGATTTATGTCGTTCACTTGAATTATACCTTAAATTTTCCGTCACGTTTATTTATTTATAATAACTTATTATTCAATATTGTTTTTAAATAATATAGCAAAATTATTTATGCTATATAAATTATAGTTTTATTGAAACACTTTAACTGCTCTTTTGGAAGAACACCAATGACCACCAGTGTCACCGTTTATGACTGTAACGCCGGTAAACTTGACTTGTTTCGACTTGCTTCACTCGCTGGAACTATTCATTTCTTATTGGACCATATCCATGGCCAATCATGATTATCCGCCAAATTTGAATAAATTTTTTTTTAATTGTAAAATAACATGTTTATTATGATGTATATGTATTTATATATCTTTATTAAATTTATTTAAAAAAATTCAATAACATTTTTTATTGCTTGTAAAGTTGACATAATTTTTTGTTGTTTAATAACAAATGAAGATTGCAATTTAGGGAAAGAATAATTATTATTACCAATATTAATATAAAATTTATGTGCGATTCAATTAATAGATAAACTGTATATCAAATGATTAAAAATATGTTTATAATAATATTTAATTATTTATTAAATTTATAAGAAAATCATAGGCACTTATGAATTATTTACTTCATTTAAATGAAATTTTACAAAATACAACAATAAATATTTTGTATTATAAACTAAATTTTTCAGCATAAATTTTATTTAAATACTGGCGGTATAATTGTGCTCACCACTAATAATTAAAAGCATAAGATAAATATTTTTTTAATTTGAAACATTGTTTATCGTTTTTTAATAACAAATTACTGGGAAATAAATTGTCGCAGGCTTGCAGTAGCAAATTAAATTAAGTTTTTTCGTATATTACAAAGCATTCATTAATCAAACTATTTTGAGTACTAATATCTGTCAATTGAATATTTTGTGAAATTTTTTAATATTAACAATTTTATTTATTACTTTAATATTTATCAGTTATTAATTTTTTATTCATAATATGAACAAATAATATATTTCATTATATGCAACCGATTATTTAGATATTATACAGCTTGTTAATATTTTTTTTTTTTTTAATATCAATATATCATTTAAAATCGTAGCTTTTTTCGAACGAGTATTTTTATGGTAGTATATCGGTAATCAAATAAATAAAATTGCATAGTTTTTTTTTTTTTTTCAAAATAAAGAACAATGTACAATATTATTTATTGAGTTAATATTAAAAAAAAATATTACTTTCTGATATGTACACATGCCGATATATTATCAGATTATGTACATTGTTCTAAACGTTTAATATCAACAATGAAATATAAGAAAAAAATATAGCGGTGTAAATCATATTTTATATGAAACTTTTCCAATTAGGCTTCCATATATGAATATTTTGGAAGCCCATATAATATACTTGTATTGATTTATGTCATTCTTTCTAAGTTACAGTATTTTTTCTAATTTATTTAAGAATTCAGAAATATATTTTTAAAAAATATGAAATTATCCATAATTATTTTATTTCATTATTCATAGAGCCTTTTTCAGTAATTTGGTTTTTAAGTATTGATAAAAGAGAATATTTAATCTATTAAAACTTAAATAGCAAATCAACAAATAAATAACTGTCTATTGACACTAAAAATTGAAAATGAATATCAAAGTGAAGCCAATAAAAAAATTTCTAATTTTTCTTAATTGTCACATATTTTAATAGAATTTATTTTTGAGATATTTATATAAAAATTCTGAATATCCATGATAACTCTGTTTATTGATAATTTAGAATATATCCGGACAACGTGACCAGTCACCTTTATTCTTACATTCCCAATATTCATGATTGTATACATGACATAAGCTGTCGGTAAATTTATCTTCTTGCTTAGTAAACCACAATGGTTCATATCCATGATATGGTAATCCTAATAAAAGTAAATATTATTTTTTTAATAACGAAAAAAATTTTAACATATTAGAAATCTTAATGACAAAAAATAAAATACCCTGTGCTGCAGTTTTTTCTGCTTCACTTTCGCGTGCACGTCGTACAGCTCTTTGTTTCTCTTCAAGACGCAATTTTTCAGCATTTGCTTCATCCCACAATCCATTTTCCATTAACCTTTGATCTGGTCTTAGTCGAGAATCTGTCGGAGCAACACCATCTTCTGGTTCATTCAATTGACATGCTAATTCCGTAAACGAGTAATATTTCTCACAATCCTCTCTATAATAAATTAATAAAAATTAAATTTACATTCATTCAACTACTGTAATAAAAGTGGTAATTAATGAAACCTTACGGAGGCATTTTCCTTTTCCAAGCGAGAGTATAAGGTCCAGTTTTATATACAGGATTATCTGGACTACCTGAGGTACTAATAACAGGTGCAATTTCAATTTTTGAATCCCATGTACCCTGTACAACCCATTTGACTTCTTTATTTGCATTCATTACAACGCCTTTTACCTTTCGTTGACTATCTCGTGAGAAATAAGAGTATGGAATGTACTTGAGATGACATTTAGTTCCATCACCGTGGTTAATAATATCCATATCACCACTTTGGTCTACCCATAATTTTCCCACTATTATATTATGCACTGTAGTTGTAACTTTTCGCCACGTATAATGATGAGTTTTACTGTTATTAAATTCTAAATGTGCTGTACCCAAAGGAATAACCTGTTTAGAAAACATTGAACAAGTAATATTAATTATATCTACAATATTAATTAATATAACTAAAATATTCATACTTGAAGGTATTTTCCACGGAATTTGGAAGCCATGGTAAATTCTTGCCAACATCGCCACGTTCGACCCTCACAAAATTGAGCAACCATAGGCGGATGATGGGAAACTTGTTCTGAAATAGCACGCCAGCCAAGATCATCTGTTCTATCACACTCATAAGTTTCACCTAAAAGAGGATTGAAAGGTTTTCCAGTTCTAGAAGCAGTAGTTGAATAACTGGAGACTGTAAAAGCTGCAATATATGCCATTTGTTCACAGCTGTCTGTACACTCTGCGGCTCTGTATTTAGACACATTTATGTAAATGTTTATTGGCTTTAGTGATAAAGTCAATTTTAATAATCACTGTGATAAAACTACCTGTCAAGGATTTCTGCATATTCATAGTCTTCTGTTAAACGTTGAAGCATACTAAGAGGTTCAGAAAAATTTACTGGCATTGGAATTTTTGATAATTCTTTGCCAATACAATTTTTCATAATACTCCATAAATTTAGTGGATAATTAGGCTTTTCTGGTACCCGAGTTCTTCGTTTCCGTTTACTTACTGATGTTACCCCGGTGCCGCTGCTGCCATCATTAGCTTTCCAAGTCTATTATAAAAATATTATTGAAGAATCGAAAAATTTTATATCACTTTTTATTTTATTCTATGAAATGAAAAGAAAGTCATTTTACATTCTCCAGTTCTGTAGAAATTCTTGAGGTATGTGGCGATGCTGATGAATCGGTCACAATAAGAAATGAATCAGCTCTAGAGGGATCATTACTAGACATAGGTGCATGGTCTCCTTCTGAGCTTGAACCATCATCACTTCCTTGTGAATCGTTTCTAGTTCGTTCCCGCGATAATGAATTATTTGATGTACTTCCTGGTATGGTTAATGTAAATGTATCTGACTCTTGGGCATCGTAAAATTCTACGTTATCTTCTTCGTCCTCAGATGGTGAAGTATTTGTTACAGCATCTATTAACACAACCAATTCTTCATTTACTTTTTTAGTAAAGTTAAGTTCAAATCATTATTGAAGAGGTTTGTATTCTCAATGACCATTGTTATTGCCATTATAAAATTATTTTTAAAAATTTAGATAGACTTACTATGGAACTTTTTATAAATCATTGTATCAAGAATTAACATATCATCATTGATAATTCAAACCTCAATATTTTTAATAAAGAACAATTGTATCCTACGATGCATCTATATATTTTTTTTCTGTTTACAAAAATTTCAACTCCAAAAATTTAGAAATCTTTTGATACACCTGAATTTCTCACGTTAATAAAAAACAAAAACACTCAAAAAATTAACCAAACATATAGATTAAAAATTCAACAAAGCTCTTAAAGCTTTCTGCAATGCATCAAGTACTCGATTAAGATGAAAATATACATATGCTTTAATATATGGTTAACTTACATTCGTTATCCAAACCACAGATTTATTTTATAGTACTCATCATATTCTATACTATAAAGGTTATTTATAACTAATGAATTATAAATCACTATGCGAATTAAAAAAATCTAGTTGATTATCACACAAAAGCATCAGATAATCGTCACAAATATTCAGTGCAAAAAAAAAAATCAGAAAATGTCACTTGCGTCATCTGATGAATCTAAAATGGCGACTATCACTAATCCCGCGTAAATTTGAATCTTTGATATTTTTAATGATGTCAATATAATTTATAAAAATCAATCAATAAATAATTGCTAATTTAATTCTCGATAATTCAAAAATTTATCCTATATACTAAGTATTATATTTTTAATAACAAAACTTATTTTAGTTTGTTATAATAAACAGAGTAATAGTCGACATGCTTGTTTATTTTATTGTTGTTTATAAACTAGCTTATTTGATGCAATTATTTGATAAATATTAATTAAATATGTTTATATAATGTATTTATACAAACATTTAGTGCAAATAATAATGAAATTGATATAATTTAGTGCTATAAAAATATTGGAATAAAATGGTAAACTTATATGGAACAAATATTTGAATTTTAAAAAAGATGATATAAATGTAAAAGATAAAATAGTTACGTGATATTCGGTGGTTTCCTGTAGTCATTCCAGTTGGTATCGCATGTTGTGCCGCTTCTTCTAAATGAGAATGTTGACGTGCAAGTTGTTCAACCATCTTTTCTATTCGTACCTTTTGATCTCTTTCATGTTGAAGCATTTTTTTCCATTTAGGCTCTTGTTGCTGTGCTAATTGTAGATAGTCATTACTTGTCTGAAACATTAAAATTTATGGTAAATAGAACTTAAGATATTCAAGTAAAATACCTAATCCAATAAAAGATATTCATTCTTTTTTATCTTTCATTATATTTTCATGAAGATTTTCAACGATTAGCATAATATCAATAAGTAGATCAATTATCCTAATAAATATTAAAAATGAAGCTTACACTGATCATTGCATTAGCAGCAATACGGAATAACGCTGCACGTTCACTGACCGTCTTGATTTTAGCAGCCATGTCAGGACTAGTTGGTTCAAGTGATTCAAGCTCTACCAGGGAACGAGTCAACATAGTCCCTCGCTTCGATATTAGCTCATTACACGATTGTAAATCTTCTAATCGCTCCGTCAAATCTTTGATTATTGAAGTGTTTTCTCCTTTCTGATTGTCGTTGTCGTGGTACTCATCCTCCTCTTCTTCTGAAACGAAGCGATGCTCTCATGAAGTGACACTTGTCCTTCGCCGCTAGGTACTAATTTATAGATTTATTATCGAGTTTTAATTTCATCACAATGTGGTTGAAATATCTCAATTCAAAAAAAAATGAAAAAAATGGTCCATTATCAAACCTGACTCCATTGCCTGTATTGCCTTAGCTTTAGCAAGCTCCAAAGCAGTCACCCATTGTTGTCGTTCAACTTCTGTTGATGCTTTGATGTGAAATGTTTGAGTTCCACCATTGCTTACAACAAAAGTACATGCATCGACTGTGTGAATTAAGGCCCCATGAAGTGATATGGCTCCTCTGCAAGTGTGGGCCATTTCCGCAGGATTTCTAAACAAACCATATGAATACACGAGTTTCCCTATGCAATTCGCCGAAATACACTTCCGGCCATAAATTAAATGGAATCAACAAAATTAACAAAACAATTTAACACAGAAGTTCTTTTTTAGATTTTGAAATTATTTAAAATAATATTTCTGTGTTTAATTGTTTCAGATAATAACACATGTAACAAAAATAAATGGTTCAATAAGAATAATAGATAGCTTTGTCATTGATAATATTATAATATCAAAAAGGATTTAAGGGTAAATATTAAATAATTCTAATTTAAAACTTATATGTACTTGTACTAGTGCATATGTTATTGGTGCTGTCGTTTAAATTGTGCAATAATACAGTGCTGTTATAATATAATTACATGCAAATTATTACAATGATGATAACAACTCTATCTGTGCCTAGTCTTTTAACGTCATTAATACTTTTAATGAAACAAATTAAAGTCATGTACAAGTCCAAGACTTGAAACTTCGTTCTGATTATTTTGTTCATTTTTGGTCATTGTATTTTAGTCAATTATATTTTTGTCGTATATTTATTGTATTAAGATGGTTAAATATTGTATTTTGAAAAATCTTGATGTAAAATGTTGAAACATTGATATATAAAACATTCTATATGATTACTATAAAACATTAATGCAGGAATATATTAATTAAACAGATGTTTAAATAAATAACATAATGTTGAAGCGAAATTCATAAACATATTCAACAATGACAAAAATAACTTGAGCCCCAAATTAATCTACATGTAACTTTATTTACTATAGATGAAACCTATACATAATAAATGTTTTAATGTTATGTAATTCATCACTACTTTGAATGCCAAATATTTGTTTTTGTTTCTATAAAGATGCGTAACAATTGATTGATGTATAATTAACAAAAAAAATATATATATCTATTAAATAAATAATAAGATGACAATGTCTGGAGTAAATAAAGTAGAAGGAAAAAATTAAAAAAATTGGCAGTAAAATAATGAATATTCAAGCAATGATTGATGAATTATTGGAGAATATAAAAACAACGACCATTACCAATTTTTATAGAGAATGAATAAAATTATCCAATTTCATGTAATGATAAATTGAATGTTGTTTATTTTTTTGGAATAATATTATTTAAATGTCTTGGGTAATTTATTTGATTATTTTTATTTCATTTTCTTCGGTTTTTGTTTCCTTAATTTTTTTCTACTTACTCGGAGGCATTGCCAGCTCTCCGCTTGCGTCTCGTTGATATCTTTGGCCCCCCTGTCGGTTCAGCCCTAAACAATTCACAAAACAAATACACCCACGTTCACTTTTGGCAAATTTTTTAAATATTTTTTTGCAGTTCTTCGAAAAACTTGAGGCTTGAAGATTATTAGTAATATTAATATATATCTATTCATTACTTTAATATCATTTTAAAAATAAATAAGTAAATAATAAGAAGCACATACATCATTTTCCATCATTAATTAATTCAATAAATAATAATAATGATATTTTAAATTAAATTATGAGTATGATTGTTGTTAAATTATGTGTTGTATCTCAGTAAATAATATTGACAAAAAATTAGTTCAATTAAATAAATTTATCGAAATGAAACTTAATTAAATAAAATAAATTTCATAACAGAGCTTATAATTATTTCATTTACTGCCAAGTGAGGCCAATAAGAAAATGACAAAAATACAGTTCAAAGGAACTAAAATACTTAACAAAAAAAATTAAAATAAAGGCTTTAAAAATAGTTAATAGGCAATAGTACTTTAATTGTTATTTTTTAATAGATAATAATAATAAGCAGTCCAATATAATATCAATCATCGTAATGTTATTCCATTTTTGACAAAGCAGTTATTTAATAATATCCTAAATTACCAAATGTGTCAAGTTATTGATATTGTAAATGTTTGTAATTGAGAGTAATGGCATTGTCCGGAAAAAAAAAATAAATGAAATATTGATGTTTCCAATGATGTATTCGACATAAAGACACGTCATCGGATTAATAATAATAAAAAAATAAGTTCAAAATTATAAGCATTTATTTATATCAAATTATATTGACATTTGATTGTTAAAAAAATAAAAGTAGTGTAGTAAATATTTGTGTTGTTACAATTATTTATGTGTACTTTTTAAAGTTATTGATGATAAACGATAAAATCTTGTGAAAAATTCACAATTTTGTAATGCAGACATTGATCATTTCTACATATGTTCTCAAAGTGTATAACAAGAAATAAACAATAATTATTTATTTGTAATGACGGAATATAATATTATATAAATTACGTATTATAATGTAATTATTGATAATAAATGAAAATACCTATAGTATGACAGAAGGCCATTTGACAGAACAAACCATCTCCGTTGGTAACCTTTTAGATAATTAGTCCACTTGAAAAGCCAACCTTTCATTTCATGAGCGCCGTGTTGGGGTTTCGGATCGCCCATTGTTTTAGTTTGTTTCTTAATTTTTATATCAATTTTTGATATTTATCTCGATACTCAACAATACGTTTTGACGTTATTATCACACTGTCTATACAACATCCACGTAGACATCACTCGTTTCTCAATCGAAACGCCATTTTGATTATAAAGTTTGCTGTCTCACTCTACTGGTCGCTCGTAATCGTGACTATATTCAGTGATGTGTTATAAATATAATTATACATACGCATAAAATATATGTATCATGTATTTGATATTTACCGCCATTATTTCGAGAGAGTTTAAATGGTTTACTAGAACTGTCAGAATACTTCGAAATCATCTAATTATTTCATAGTTTTATGAAGTTATGTAAATTCTATTGTGTCACATAACCACTAATTAAAAATGATGATAAATATGCAAATAACGGTTTTTGAAATTCATTTTGAAAATCAATTGTGATAAGATTGTTTTCCTTTTTTAAAAAATTACAAGCATTTAATAAAATTTAATAAAAAAAAAAAGAAAATTCTTTCTTCTTAGCCGGATGTTTGCTACTGAGAATTTGATCGACGTCATAAAAATCGCATGCAACGATTATGTAAGATAAATCATTTCGGTTATTTTTTTTTTAAACTTCCCCCTTTATAAGAGCAGAATTGAATGCTAAAGTAATATTCAACAATTGTCTAACAATCAGTGAAAAACAAATAAATCTTAACCTATTATTGATATGTAAATAGAAAATTACACAAAATTGTAAAAATTTTCAACTATTTCAATTTAATTATAAATAAGTCTTATTTTGTTATATATTTTAGTTTTTTTTATTAATGTACATAACAAATATAAATAAAAAATATCACGTTTTGAATTTTCCTTTTGTTCGGTGTAATGTATTACTTCCTGCTAAGAAAAAAACTATTTTTAATTTTTCCAATACCTGAAAAATATTCATTATTTTGCATATAATTATTTCAATTTTTTTTCAATCATAAGAATAAATAATAAAGTTCATTCCATAACATGATAAATTGTTTAACCAATTATAGAAAATATTTACATAACATATGTAAATTATTTTTTCAAACACCAAAATAAATAGTAATAGAAAAAATATTAATGATGACTTCAAGTACATTTGATACCTTCATAGATGATTTCATCATGACATTTGACCTTTTACTGTAGGACATAAGTTGATAAAGTTAAAAGCATTAGATTAAATTTAGAATAAATTATTGAAAAACCCATAACACCTGAGATTCGTTTTTAAAATTATGTACATGAGTAAGAAAAACACTCACTCAGAACTAAAAAGATATATAAAGTCAGTTATTATGCGGCCAATATGACTCCAAGGCAATTAATGCTATTATTATGATTATTCGTAGGTAGGGGCACGATGTGCAACTCTTCATACTAACGACAGTCAGTTTTACGAGTTTACAGACACTAAACGCTTTCTCACATATTCCTGTGCAGTGTCTTGAGTCTTTGACGATGTCAGTGCATATTATTTGTTAAACATTAATAATAATGCTAATTTATAAAATAAACTATACATTAATTTCACATGAACATTTCAATAATTTATAATAAAATTAATTGTGAAATTTTTATTTCACAATTTTTTACCTACAATAATTTAGTTTATTAAGAAGATAAGCATTTTTCAAACTCTGTGATTGTGCAAAGTTATCAAATAATTTTCTGTTATTATTATCTGTTATTTGCTGATAAAAGAGTTCTTATGATAGTTATACAATCTATATTGTTACTAAAAGAGTCTTCAATGATCACTTGACATTATTGAAGTTTTCTTTTTTTTATAAGTTTATTTGTATTGTGATTGTTGAACCAAAATTCATCAGTGATCAATTAATATTACTTCAAATTTATGAAAATTTTTAATATCAAATTCTACTGGTTAATTCAACAATAATCTTAATAAGAAATATAATGTATCTTATCTTAGAATGATTATCAGTTCAATGAAATCTCGATGATTAAAACAATTATAAAATTTATGAAACTTAAAACAATATACAATTTTATAAAAGTATTTTGATAGAAAAAAGAATTAATGCCATGAACATGTCGAACGATCATTCAAGTAATCAAAGCAATAAGGATCAAATAAATACTGCTAAAATGAGTCCAAATAATTCTGAATCTAGAATAACAATGACTCCATTACGAGATTATAAAAACGATGAAACAGTAGAGAAATGCAGTAAATCAACTCAAATAGATTTTTGGAAAATAAACTTTCGACCAGAGACCAGTTCATCAAAAATAAGACCACTATCAGCGGGTTTTGCTTCAAAGTCAAATCCATTTAATAACAGTAATTATTCCATTACCAACAGTTCTCGAAGTCTCTTACATTCATCTCAAAGCGAGGTAGCTTTATCAAGAACAAAGAATCCACGTGCTAATATTGGAAAATTCGTTGCTTTAGATATTGCTAAAACTGTACCAGTTCTACCTCTTACTTCTGTTTCTGTTAATAATTTATCAGGCAATAACTCTTGTTGCACATATTGCAACTGCAACTGCAATAACAGTCAATCAGGACATTCATTAAAACAAAATGAACCTGAAGGTCCACAAGGATTATCTTGGAGAAGACTTCATATGAGCCGAGCCAAACTCAAAGCTACAGCTACTACTTCAGAATTACTCAGTGGATTTGCCATGGTAACTGTCCTTCTTTTGATTTCTTTCTCATGTTTGCTTATAACTTCTAGGTAATATTGAATCATATAAATATACATCAATTATTAAAAGTACATTGAAAAAGTATTTGATACTTTGTTGTGAGTTTTATAATGGAAATAATTAGAATAACGATTATCATTAAATTTAATACACAATGAAATAAGAATAAAAGAAAATAAATAGTTCTGGAAATGATGAAGAGAAAAAATGTTGTGAGTAAGGATATGTCGCGAAAACTATAAGAGGTGTTTTTACATTATCCAATTAAATATGATGGCCGAGGACAATTCATAATAATAATAAACTGATGATAATATCAATGATTATACAAGGCACAGACAAATTACTTTATTCGCATACTTCTTCTTATTAATAGCATCAAATTTTCTTTAATTATTATCATTTCAAGTAATAATTCTACGATGAAGATACTGACTCATCATTGATGAAATATTCCATGTTTAATATTCATTTCAGGTGGCAATGGTCGAGCTTCAAATAAATGAACCAACCGCTGTTCCGGAGTGGCTTTTTGTTATGTTTGCCGTTTGTACAACGGTATTGGTATCTGTTCATATTTTTGCTTTAATGATAAGCACATATTTATTACCAAATGTTGAAGCGATTAGTAAACTTCAAATATCTCGACTTATTACGGAATCACCGCACGAACGTATGAGAGGATTTATTGAGCTTGCATGGGCATTTTCCACTGTTCTTGGACTCTTTCTATTTCTCGTTGAAATTGCTATACTAAGCTGGGTAAAGTTTTGGGATTATTCATTCATGGCAGCCATGGCCAGTACAATCATTGTTATTCCAGTACTCATTGTATTTGTTGCATTTGCTGTACATTTTTATCATTCACTAGTTGTCTATAAATGCGAAACTTCTACCACTGATATGGAAGAATTGGAAAGTATTAAAAAACATTTAGATAACGTTGCTGTTAATCAAAGTACTGTTTGACAAACATTAAGTCATGATTAAATTTTATCGTTATTTAACATCTTTATTTGTTAAATTTTCATTATTAATCCTTTACTGTTGCATACTTTTCAGTCATGTTGATCAGTATTTGATAATTATTGAATACAACATTATTTGTTTATAATTTTTTCTGAGATGTCTACAATTTTAAATTGAATTAAATAAATATGCACAGCAAAGGATTAAATTTATTTTTATATTTATTATATAGTTATTTTTTAAAATATGGCTTATTTATTTAAACTTTTAGTAAGAATCATTTTAATATAAGAACAACAATTGAAGTAATAAAGAAATAAAAAATTACAAATCATTAGCTAATTAATAGTTAGATGGTCTTTATTTTTGATTAATTTATTAATGACGATGTCTAATATTTTATTTTATTGATATTAGAGTAGAAGAATATTTTTAAAGTTAAAGTAAAAAAATAATCATATATTTATACAATATTATTGTATATTTTATGTACTGCAAGTGTATAAATTTTCAATAGATTAGTCACCGTACTTATAAGAAAATAAAAAAATTAGTATTTAAGTATGATGTCATGATAGTATCGTAAAATTAAAAAATTGAAATAAAAAATATATTTACTATGTGCTGCTGTGCTGAAAATAATTTTTTTCTTTTTTTTAAATAAAAGAGTCCATTTTTTGAAAAATTTTGAATTATACATAAAGAAAAGATAATAAAAATGAAAATATTTTCTAATATGTAGTAGATTTTAATAAGAAAAAGGAATGAACAATGTAGACTTGTATTAATTTTGTCGTTTTTTCATCGTATTTTATAACTTTATAATTACTTTATTTTTCACAATCGCAAATTTTTTCAAATGTAACATATATTATCCAAGAAATTCTTAGTATTTATTTATATTTATGTCATTACTTTCTTAAACATACATCTCTTGATTATATATTGCATATATACATTATAAATTAATTGAAGAGAATCATAAAAATTTACGAAAATTTTCTCATTATAACATAAATCACGTTCTTCAGTCATCACTAATATAACATTTATTCTTTTCAAAAATATTTATAAAAAGCGAATTATTTTTAAAAAAAATATTATAACATAAATGAAACAATATACAATAATGGACAACAAATGTTCATAAAATATATTTAAGAATTACGATATCATTATAATTGTCACGGACAGATTATTTAGATTTATTGATAAAAAGTTAGATGAAAATTAATAATTGTAAAAACTTTAGGTTGATTTTTAATCAATTATATCTACTAATAATCATTTAAAATACAGTTATTCGATGGAGAAAATATAAATTAATAAAATAATATTGTTAATCTCAAAATTAATTATCCAAAATGTGCGTTATAAAATTAAGTAGTTAAAATTGTTTATTAATATAAATTTTTCTATATTTAAATTGCAATCAGTCTTTTAATTTTTATATAAATATAAATATATATATTATATGTATGTATATATGTCCGTGACATTTTTTCGTTATATATTTATTTTTTTCTTTTAAAGTTGCCCATAATTTTACTAAATGAAAAGAAAATATAACTTTTTCTATCATTTTAGCACTTTTTTTAATTTTTGAAAATCATACTTTAATATATATTTATGTACATAATATCTTCATTTATTTCAATTAGAAAGGAATTATTTCATTAAATGAAGTCACAACCAACACGCGTGTCTTTTCATATTTTCAATTTGCATTACACCGGCACGTTTAAATTTTATAGAAATATTGGTCAGTATAATGTTAAACATATTAAAAAAAATATTCATCTACTAATATGTTTTTTTTTTACGTAATAATTAGGTAAATAATTATTATTATAATACGATAAATTAATTATACCGCTAAATTAATAAACGTCTTCAATATTTCATTTTATTTTTTTGTGACATTAGGTTAAAGTCATATTCTAATTCTACTAAACATTTATATAATAATAATATAGATAAAAATACTAATAATAAAAAACAAGAGTAAATTGCAATACGTTTTCAGTCGGCCATACTTCTCTGTCAACTACACGAAGTATTTAAATTAAAAATCAATAATATATATTATTTTTTTTTACATCTAAATTCTCTACGCAGTCCGATTTTGTAGTGCATTTTCACAATATTTAAACGAAGAAACGGTGATGAAAGAGGGAATAAGAAAGAATGTAAATGTAATATGACAAGATGAAAAGACAATAAAATTAATAGATATATATATATATATATAGTATACTAACTATATTATATATATATATATTGTTTTTAGAGCGAAAAATAACAGAAAATAAAATGATCAACGAATTTACTTACACAATGGTACCAATGAATAATTGGAGTATTTGTAACATGACGTTAAACACGCATTCATTATTTTTGTTCTTATAGCGAAATACTTGAAATGTGCAATTCTAAGATATTCGTCAGACCTCCAAATGCTTTGATGGTACGTGTGTTATAAATGGTTCGCTCCACATACGCCGTAAATCTCCCTACAATAATAAACTTTACTAGTATATATGATTGTTTATCACATATATTCCGTAAACTTACCTTAAGGTATGCCATGGTAAGTAATGGTAAAAGCGTAAATGGTACAAGATAAAGTAAGGCGGGTTGTGCTGCTTTAAAAACCTCGGAGCTAACAGTGGCAGTGAGTAAACCGAGAAAATAACCAATAAGTGAGCAATGGAAGTAACTAATACGACTTAAATGTCTTGGAGGTGGTACACCAGCCTCACAGCCGCCAGGAATGAGCTGACTTTTTTTGTAAGCATCATATCGTAGAACAAAACAAAGCAATAGTCCAGGCATAACTACATCTCCAAGACCAAGCATTGAAAAATGCCCAGCTTGATGTATTGATGGAAAAACTAGTTTCCCTGGTAAAGAGAGCTTTGGGGCTTCACGAGCTACACCGCCAAGGTGTAGTCGTCGTGCTACTAAACCTACTGGATTATCTGCTGGTCTCGTGGCCACCTGAAATATTGATAATTCTATTAAATATACTCTTAATAAACTTAAATAATATCGATGACGTAATTGAATTGGATATGACTGATATATTTTTGTTGGAATTTGGTAATTTGTCTTAAAAGCGTATTATACGCTATCAATTACAGGGTAAACAAAGTATTAAATGAACACTTTTTCTCCGAAAAATCAAATTTTATAAATTAAAAATAAAAGTCTAGACTGTAGTTCTTTGATGAAAATTGTGTCAAGTCAAAAAAAGAATCATTAAAAATGATATTGCTTGATGAAGCATAAAGGGTTCTTCAGTTGAAAAATTTCGTTATAATGAATTCGATTTTTTATTAGAATTTTAATTTTAGTTCTTATCTTTTGACCTAGTTATTTAAACTTAATAAGCCATAAAAATTTTTCAACCTTACTAATAATTTGTGATCTATTCTATGTACCAAGTTAAATTACAGTCATCGATATGCTAGTAATTTTTTAAATACTTACTTTAACCATAACATTTGTACTAAATATATAAGATGAAAAAAAGACCCAAAAGACATCATATATAAGTAGTCCAGTGAGTAAAAGTGTGGATACCTTTAGGCTAGGTAATCGTACAAATGCTATGAAGGCAACACAAAGACCCATACCCATTGCGTCCATCAGTAACCAGTGACCGGTTAGTACCCAAATACAAACTATGCTCACACTAAGTGAGAATGATAACAGTTCAGCACCAGTAAACCTGCCGCAAACGCCGAATGAAATTTTGTTTCCGTCTGAGCATGGTCGTATGATATACTGGCACATTGGCAAGAGGAGAAATGCCAATGCAACTGTCGCTATAACTGTAATATCACCAAATAAATATTTTCATTTTAAAATTATATTTCCATACCTTATTTCATATAGCCTTACTTGCTGTACAAATAGCAAATAACATTTGCATACTGTCGAAGAAGAAAAACATAATAAGAAGGGATATGGAAGCACCAAGAGGTAGACAAAGAGCGTGCATAGTATCCAGGGTTTGAACACCATTATTACTGCTATCTGTACTATTGGTACCACTTGTCAATCCCGTAAGTAAATTTTTTCGCTCTTTTTCTTTTTCCCTTTCTCTTGCCTCTTGTTCCATATTCAATGATCGAAAACTTCCATAAACAATTAACAAAATTGATATTAAAAAAGTAGAAACCCTGGACGAATCCATAATGGAATAGGCCCTGAAATGGTAAAATGGTGAAATATCTGTATAAAACTTATTCTAACTTACTATAATACATATATGCAATAATTTCGGTCCGGACCGAATCATCAGGAGCATATTAATATATCCTCTAACCACTGATAATCGACTTGATTAGTGGCCATTTTTTATCAATTGTTGGCCGCAAGTTTTTGCAGGTGCTATGCAAGATTAATGAATGGCATTTAGGTGTGTTTTTCTTAATTTACTTCCATTGATAATCCAGAAGCTCTAGTTTAATCCAGAATCATCTGCTTATTAGCCTGAAATAGATATTCATGTATTTTATACAACTGTGTGTTCTATAAGTAAAAGAATATATATCAAGTTTACATTAACTACCTTACTACTTCATTATTGAGCATATCATTTGATAGGTTAATGCTTTATATCTTCAGGTTACCACCTGTAATTAAATAATCATCAGTTTAATTTATTACAGTAAGCAATCTCAACACCTGTACTGATATAATATTGAGTATCCATTCAAATGATAACACATCAATGAAAACTTCAACTTTCATTTCTTTATGATGACTTATAGTGCAATAATATTTAACAAGTAATTAGTAGTACATATACCACGTTCAATAACATTTGAGAGTAAATAATTACTGAAACCAATGAACTTTAACTAGAGATTTTAAACATTTATATCGGTTTTATACCAACAACATATGACTTAGAGAAGTATTATCCAAAACATATAATATTTATAAAATCGAATATAAGTATAAATGTATAATTAGTACTTTTTCTATTTGATCTACAGAAAGAGAAATTTTCAAGGTATTGATATGTGACATACTAAGAATTACGTAAAGAATAGAGAAAGATTAAACCTTGTGATTGATGATAAAAATAAATTGATTGTTATAAATATAAATGCCATAAAATAAAATATGTAAAAGAATATAAGTGCAAAATAATTTGTCAAATATCATGGGTCACCATTTTAGTAAACAGAGATCACGTGACTTTTTACTGATGGCCCTTGAAAGTGGCAAGCGAAATATCCTGACACAGTGAAACTTGAAGATATAGAAATCCAATTCCAAAGAATCACACTTACCTATTAGGTGGTCCGAGGTTTAAACTTACTACAGTTAAATTCATCACCTATTTTTTCCACTTTAGAACCTATTTTTTACACGATCAATGCTCCAAAAAATGGCGATCCGCGTCTATTACTGCACAGTAAAAAATCTTGTCGTATAATCGGTCAACTATTATATGTACATGTATACATAGTACATCAATGTAAATGTATATTAACGCATACTATTTAACACTACTCATACACTGCAACTAAGAAGGTAGAAAGAGAACAGAAGAATTTTATAGCCAGTGTGGGAGGCAAGTAGAGTAAAGTGAATGAGGTGAATTAAAATCAAATATCTACTGCGCTTGCGTATTTTTTGATTGGTTGTTTAAAAATATGAGAAATGCATCGATAGTTGATATACATACATGTAATATAATATGTAATGTCTGAATATTATTTACAGATTTTATTACAAACAAGTTTTTATAATTTGTTTCATTTAAATAATCATCCGTTGAGCAAAGTAATTAAAATGATAACTTATGCTCTGATCATTTAAGCCTTAAGGCATTCGTTAATCTTATGTAATCTAGGTAATAAAATAAATTTTACTGTAACGAAATGATATTATCTGATGTACTTTTTGACTTGTGCCTAATTTTTGCAAGCATTCTAACCTAAAAATGTAATGAATATGTAAAATTTTAAGTGATATTGCGAATAATTGGAATTTTTGATCTCAGTCAGCAAATTTCTACATTTAAAAAAATGAGGGAAATTGACCATTGGTTGTGTAAGTTGTGTTACACATCGTTAATATGCTATAGTTTGTGTATTAGAATTGACTATATTCCGTGTTAACTCTACAGTAAATTGATAAACGAAGAAAAACTCGTCTATATTGTTTGCATATAAAGTTTTATAGAAATTCAAATATTTTTTCCTAAATTGAATTAAATTACAACAAAAGGTGATTATTATCAAACTTTTATTGAGATATGAAGATTCATTTTTATATGTAATCTTCATTTCTTTTATAGTAAATCCACTTAAATACACTCCAATGATATTTTATCTTTCAATTAATTGTGCATCAAAGCCTTCAAATCCGCTTACATTTATTGACATAAATTTAATTATAATTATTGACTTACAATTAAACTTTAATTTTTCTGAATATATTAAACAAGCTTATTTTAATAAAGATTCTATATAATATAGCTGTTAAAATTATTTGTAAAAAACGGTGGTGTATTTGATGGATGAATAAGAGTTTAATAACCTCATCAACGTGATAGAGGTGTATATAATGTTTATTGAGCTTTCAGGTTTTGAAAAAATAAGACAGCATGGCACTCCGTACATACGGTGATAAACCTATAAGCTTCCAAGTAGAAGAAAATGGAGAATATTACTGTATTGGATCAGAAGTTGGTAATTATTTACGGCTTTTCCGGGGTTCACTGTATAAACGTTACCCTGGAATGTACAGAAGATCAATTACAAATGATGAAAGAAAAAAACTTGTTGAACTTGGATTAAGTCAACATGTATTAGCATCAAGTGTTTCTCTATTAAGAGCTAGTGAAGTTGAAGATATTATCGAGGGTAATGATGAAAAATATAAAGCTGTCTCGGTGCATTCGACCGAACCACCAGCACCTAGAGAAGGGAAGACTAAAAAATCGATGGCTTGGGTGCCAAGTTTACCAAATAGCTCACATTTAGATGCTGTACCACAAGCTACTCCTATCAATCGGAATCGAGTGCATAATAAGAAAGTTCGGACATTCCCATTATGGTAAAAAATATTCAATATTTACTCCAAAAATGAATAATTGAGAATATGTTTCTATTTAATCTATTTTAAATTGCAGTTTTGATGATACTGATCCAACAGTGAATCTTGAAAATTCTGCACAACAAGAAATGCTTGTTCCCATACGTTTAGACATGGAAATTGAAGGACAAAAATTACGTGATACATTCACCTGGAATAAAAATGGTAAATTATTTGTTTATTTAGTTGAACTAGTTTGCCATGTCAAATTATTAATTCATAAAAATTCTATTTTTCAGAAAGTTTAATTACTCCGGAACAATTTGCTGAAGTCTTATGTGATGATTTAGATTTAAATCCACTGACGTTTGTACCAGCAATAGCTCAAGCAATTAGGCAACAAATAGATGCTTTTCCCCAAGAAACTTTAATAGAAGATCAATGTGATCAACGTGTAATTATTAAATTAAATATTCACGTGGGTAATACGTCTTTGGTGGATCAGGTTGAATGGGATATGTCTGAGAAAGAAAATAATCCGGAAAAGTTCGCAATGAAACTTTGTGCTGAATTAGGTCTTGGTGGAGAATTTGTTACGGCCATTGCTTACAGGTAAAGTCTATTCTGACATCCTGCAATTTCAATTTTATTTATATCAATTTGGATTTCGAAAAAGTTAAGAATGATAAAAATTTTTTAGTGTACGAGGACAATTATCGTGGCATCAAAGAACGTATGCATTTTCTGAAGCTCCATTACCTACTGTAGAAGTACCATTCAGGCCACCTTCTGAAGCAGACCAATGGGCACCTTTCTTAGAGACTCTCACAGATGCAGAAATGGAAAAGAAAATACGAGATCAAGACAGAAATACTAGGTATGTAATTAATTAAATTGTATAAATTATTTAGTCATTTAATTATTTTGCTAAATTAATGTTATTTATTACTTTTAGACGTATGAGACGATTAGCTAACACAACACCAGGATGGTAAATTTTGCCAAAAAACATGTAAACAATAATCAATATCGATAATATAAATCATAAATATCATAAAATAGATATAAGCATCATTTTTTATGTTTCATTGCTAGAAAATTATTATTTTTGAACATTTTAAGATCAATAGTATTAAAAAGTAGAATAATTATCGATATTTTAAACTCAACATCATAAATATAATGTATTAAAAATTATATTTTCAATTTCTTACAATAAAATTTTTACAAAGTCTACTTTATAAAATATAGTGTGCTTTTTACTATTGTTATTATATTTTATATAAATGAATAATTGTATTTGTTTAATTGTACATCAACTTTTACAGTATTTAACAATATTTAAATACTTTTTTTACAAGACTAATTTTACAAAAAAAAAAAAATTAAACATTGTCCAGGAACTGTTATAAACATCCAAATGTGTTTTAAATAAATTAATATGTTATTGTCAAATAAAGTCATTTGTTTTTATCACATTTCATAATGAACATCATAGTATTATAATACGATAAGTCGTATAGTGATTACTTAAGATATCTCTTACTAATTCTATCAATGCCGTCAATGAATTACATATTTACTTAACCTTTTTATTGTGATATGAAATTGTTATTTCATTTTATAAAATGGATAAAATTTAATAAATTTTTTATAAACATTAACAATTGTTTATAAATTGTTTCGTTTTTATAACGGAAAGAAATAGAAATTAATGATGATTTTATCAAACAAAATTTAATCATGTCGCTATTAGATCAAATTAATGGATAATGTCAATAGAATAAAATAAACAAGCAAGAGAGAAATTATTTGCTACATAATACATGTAAAGATTTAACGATGTGTGGTGTTATTGATAAAAGGCATGCGTATATATACAAGTGCATGTGAGTATGTAGGAGGAATTCTCATGGAACGACAAATAAAATTCAACTATGACTTGCTTCTTGTTAATTTCAGTAAATTCAGTTGTCCTCCAGCAGTCACGAGAGTTGGAGGTTAAAAAAAAATTTTTTTTTTTAAATTTCTATTTCATTAATAAACATGGATTCGATTTCATTGATCAGACAAATATATAATGCTAAAATTGAAAAAAAAAACAATAATCCTTTTTTTTTAAGACCATGGTCACAGGATAAAGCTTTAGCTGCTCCGGCTTCTGGCAATATTGGTGTCAAAGGAATCATTGCCGGTATGTTTTTGAAATTAATTTTATAAATAAATATAATTTTTAATCATCATGTTTTCTAATTATATGAGACAAAAAATTACTCATCTGAGAAATAATCAACTATTTTAAATGGGTACTTAATTATTTAAATAAAATTGAAAGTTTTATTAATCTATTTATGTCTGCTTATAGGTGGAATAACAGGTGGCATAGAAATCTGTATAACTTATCCAACGGAATATGTTAAAACGCAGTTGCAATTGGATGGAAAAGCAGGTGCCGGCAAACAATATGCAGGAATATACGATTGTATTACGAAGACAATCAAAACAAATGGATTTCTTGGGTTATATCGTGGTTTGTCTGTACTTCTTTATGGCTCAATACCAAAATCAGCAGTGCGTTTTGGTGCATTTGAATCCGTGAAAAAACAACTAGTCGATGCCGATGGTAAACTTAATGCTCAACGACGACTTTTAGCTGGACTTTGTGCCGGCATTTGTGAAGCAATATTTGCTGTAACACCAATGGAAACAATTAAAGTCAAATTTATTAATGACCAACGGTCTGCAAATCCACAATTCCGTGGCTTTTTCCACGGTGTTCGTCTTATAGTAAAAGAACATGGTAAAATATTCATTACATATCACTACTTTTATTCATTAACATATCTAAGATAATTGAGTTCTACTTTTCTGTTTGGATTATTTATTGATAATTAATCTTAAAATTGATAAAATATTATCATCTTTTGAATACTATTTCGTCAAACTTATTATCATGATTATGACAAAACAAAAATGATCAATTTCATTCATTATTGCATCAATGCAGTATTATGAAATTGATCATAATTTTTATTTAGTTAATATTCAAATATGTATAAGACAATTTAATTTAAATTAATCTTTAATAGTACAGCTAACGTGATAAGAAACATTAATGAATAATTCATGTTATGATTTTAATTCATACTTTAGATTTAAAAAAGCTCAGACTTTTTTTAAAGTTCTCATTTTTTTGTGTTAAATGAATATTTATTAAAGACAATACATCAATCATTACACAGGAAATTTAATTTTAAAACAGTTTAATGGTCTATGAGAAAAGTATAACACAATTAAAAATAGATTTGATAAAGTATACAAGGTTTTTTGATGTGCTCGTAAAATTGAATAAAATATGATCTGCTGATTCAATATATTTTTAGAATATTTTTATAAAATGAAATATGGAATTTAAAAATAAATTAAAATATTATTTAGTTTAATAATGAAAAGAAATATTATTTTGAATGTAAATATTTATTTTTACTTTAAAAGAGCTTGTACGAATTATTAATAAGATATGATGTAATTCTATATTTATTCCATTAAGTGGTTTGGGTCTAGAAAATTTTTTTCATCCAGAAGTTAAAGAATATTTTATTAATGGTGTTAATTAAACAGGTTTTAAAGGAGTTTATCAAGGAGTTGTGCCGACAATAATGAAACAAGGTTCTAATCAAGCAATAAGATTTTTTGTAATGGAAACAATGAAGGATTGGTATCGTGGTGGTGATAATAATAAACCAGTTCCAAAGATGATTGTTGGAGTGTTTGGAGCTTGCGCTGGCGCCGCTTCAGTTTTTGGAAATACTCCAATTGATGTTGTAAAAACGCGAATGCAGGTAAATTATTATTTTAAAAAGAAAACTATTAAATTATAGATTTTATTTTAAATTTAAATTTTCTCTTATAAAACTTATTTTAAAAAATAACAGGGTTTGGAAGCTTCTAAGTATAAAGGAAGTTTAGATTGTGCCGTTCAAGTATGGAAAAAAGAAGGACCTAGTGCATTTTATAAAGGAACTGTTCCTAGATTAGGTAGAGTATGTTTAGATGTTGCAATCACTTTTATGATTTACGATTCATTCATGGAACTCTTCAACAAAGTATGGCCCTAAGTTCATATGAAGCATTTTATAAATCATAAATTGTCGCAATTCAGCATAGATATATTGGTGTCATATTATATATAGATTTATTAAATAATGAAAGAAATTGATATTTTTTGAAATAGTAGAAAATGAAATTCTCGATGTAAATACAATGATTTTTATACGTAAAATAATTTATACAGTAACAGTAGATTTTAAAATTGACAAATATCTATACAAAATATTAATAATGATAATAATTGTGCTTGAGCTTAATATTTATCGGATATATTTATTAGATGGTATTTATTTTAAAAAATATTTTGATTATTATATTACTGTATTATGTGTTGTGGAATCTAAATATTATAAAGCTGTTACAAATGTAATTAATTTATAAATTGAAATATTTTAAACTTGTATACATTCCAATAATTACAATGATTATATACATATTATCATTCCAAGGCAATAGTAAAATTGTAAGTAATTTTGATAAACATATATGGCTAACGTATATTGTTACAATATTTGCAGAAAATTATGTATATAAATCTTTATAATGTAATACATATTAAAATTACAATAAAAACAAAGGTATTATTTATACATTTCTGTATTTGTATTAATTTTAAAAATGATTATAAATTTTATATTAAATTTAATCACCATTTTGTAACATTTAACTAATAAATTAATTTAAATTCAAAAAAAATAATATTATATTGCATGAGTAGAATGTAGGATGCAAAAGCAATTAGCAAATGGGTATTTCAGACATATGAGTGTAAGTATCACACTTGTTGAAAGTACCAGAGAATGTAGTAGTAGGTGAATGTTTAGTTCACTTCAGCTGTTCTGTTGATGTAACATGTAACTATCAGGCCCAGTTGGCCCCACTCTTAACAGGCCCGATAATATACCAGGCCCAAGGATTGGATCAGGGGTCACATTCCAAGATGGCTGTACCTGAGGAATGCAGTGGATACCCCCCTGAAACACTTTACTCTTTCGTTTTTTATTAATCAAATTGCCTTATTTTGTTAATACTTAAAAAGTATTTATTTATATTTAAATTATTATTTAAATTGTGATTAGTTAAAAAAAGTTATTATTTTTCACATATGTAGGCATAAAAAAATTGTAAAAGACGCTAAGGTGTGAAAATCAAGTGAGTATTTGTAAAGTAGATGATAGTAATGCTTATGCAAGACAATGCTACCGGCTCGTTTTAAAAAATGTCTCATCGGGATATCTCTGAGGTAATTGTTTTAAAATTATTTATAATAAAAAATTAATTCTTTATTTTGATGTCTTGTTAATTTTTTTTTTTATACTAAACATTTATATTTATAATCATTTATGTACTAAACACATAGACTTATAAATATAATTCATCAAAAATAAAATATAGTTTAATAATTTCATTTTAAAAAAATTTTGAAATTAATAATAATAATTAGAAAATTAATTAAAAACAGGTGGAACCCGAAGGTACGTCGGCCTTGGCCGCTGGATCCCGTACATTATTTCTAGAAACAGTTCGTAAAAGTAATGCTGCTTGTCAAAACGGAGATTACGCATTAGCTGCTAAATTATATACTGAAGCTTTAGCATTAGATCCTCTTAGTCATGTTTTATATTCAAATAGATCAGCAGCACGTCTTAAAATGGGCCTGTTTGCACTGGCCCTACAAGATGCTGTGCAAGCTACAGAATTACTTCCCCAATGGCCAAAAGCATATTATCGTCAAGGAGTAGCTTTACAATGTCTAGGACGTCACGGAGAAGCATTAGTGGCTTTTGCCACAGGCTTAGCACGAGATTCATCCAATACTCAATTATTATCTGGCCTTGTAGAAGCTTCTCTCAAGTCACCACTTCGTGCAACTCTAGAGCCAACATTTCAACAATTAAGAGCTATGAAACTTGATGAATCTCCATTCGTTGTAATTTCGGTTGTTGGTCAAGAATTACTTGGAGCTGGACAATATAAAGCAGCAGCTGGAGTACTTGAAGCAGCATTAGCTATTGGTACATGCAGTTTAAAACTTAGAGGATCAGTATTTTCAGCTTTATCAAGTGCTTATTGGGCTCTGAATTCACTAGATAAAGCTATCAGTTATATGCAACAAGATTTAGGTTTGTATTCATATCAATAAGTGATAAATAAATTAATCAAAACTAAAAAATGAAGAAATAATTTTATAATTTTAATGATTTGATAAAAAATTATTTAAAAGTGGTTTTTGTCTTTATTTATGTATAAATGAATTTTCAGGTGTTGCTCGATCATTAGGTGACACACAAGGAGAATGTCGAGCTCATGGCAATTTAGGCTCTGCTTATTTCAGCAAAGGAACATATAAAGAAGCCCTCACAGCTCATCGATATCAACTTGTTTTAGCTATGAAATGTAAAGATGCACAAGCTGCAGCATCCGCTTTGACTAGTTTAGGACACGTTTACACAGCAATTGGTGATTTACCGAATGCTTTAGCATCGCATAAACAATGTGTGCAACTTGTTAAACAAATGGGTGATCGTCTGCAAGAGGCTAGAGAAATTGGCAATGTCGGAGCCGTTTATCTTGCAATGGGAGAATTCGAAAGTGCTGTTGATTGTCATACGCAACATTTACGAATAGCTAGAAGGCTTGGTGATAAAGTAGAAGAAGCAAGAGCTTTTAGTAATCTCGGTTCTTCTCATCATTATCGACGTAATTTTAGTCAAGCTATGACTTATCATGAAAACGTGTTGAAAATTGCACAAGAACTTGGAGATAAAGCTATCGAAACTCGAGCGTATGCCGGTCTGGGTCATGCAGCTCGATGTGCTGGTGATCTTGCGCAAGCTAAACTCTGGCATCAACGTCAACTTGATGTTGCATTGACAACTAAAGATAAAGTAGCTGAAGGACGAGCGTGTTCTAATCTTGGTATTGTTTATCAACTTCTTGGAGAACATGATGCTGCTTTAAAATTACATCAAGCTCATTTGGGTATTGCTCGAGCACTTGGAGATAAAGCTGGTATGGGAAGAGCTTTTGGAAATATTGGTAATGCGTATAATGCACTTGGCTATTATGAACAAGCTATTAAGTATCACAAACAAGAATTAACTATTAGTAAAGAAGTTAATGATAGGAGTTCAGAGGCTAGTACTCATGGTAATTTAGCTGTAGCTTATCAAGCTGTACAAGGACACGAAGCAGCACTAAGACATTATAGAGCTCATTTAACTATTGCCAGAGAACTTAAGGATACTGCTGGTGAAGCGTGTGCTCTTTTAAATTTAGCTAATTGTTTATCATCTCGGGGACGTTTTGAAGAAGCAGTACCTTTTTATGAAAATTATTTAATGCTTTCACAAGAACTTCATGATGTTGAAGGTGAAGCTAAAGCTTGTCATTTTTTAGGATATGCTCATTATTGTCTGGGTAATCATCGTGAAGCTGTGAGATATTATGATCAAGATTTAGCACTAGCAAAAGATTTGCAGGACAAATCGGGTATGGGACGTGCTTATTGTAATCTTGGTCTTGCACATCTTGCTCTTGGAAATTTAGACACTGCACTAGAGTGTCAGAAATATTATTTAGCTATTGCACATATGATGAAACATTTATCCGGTAAATTTCGTGCCTTAGGCAATATTGGTGATTGCTTATTAAAACTTGGCGAAACAGATGAAGCTATAAAAATGCATCAACGTCAGTTAAATTTAGCTAGACAATCATCTGATCGATGTTTAGAAGCAACAGCTTACGGAGCTTTAGGTGTTGCTCATCGATTTACAAAAAATTTTGATAAAGCTTTAGGATTTCATACACAAGAACTTACTTTACGCCAAGAAGCTGGAGATCTTAGAGGTGAATGTCGAGCTCATGGAAACCTTGGAGCAGTTCATATGGCTTTAGGTCAATATACGCATGCTGTCAAGTGTTATCAGGAACAATTAGATAGGGCTAGAGAGTTAGTTGATTCTGGAATTGAAGCTCAAGCATTAGGTATGTACGATTGATTTTTTAATTATTGCTACATCTTACATTAACATTTGTTTTATTTTATAGGAAATTTGGGAATAGCTCGATTAAATATGGCACACTATGAAGATGCAATAGGATATTTTGAACAACAATTAGCAACTTTAGAGCCACTTACGACTGGAACAGCTCTATTAGATAAAGCAAGAGCTTTAGGAAATCTAGGAGATTGTTACGAAGCTTTGGGAGATCCAGAAGAAGCTATAAAATGTCATGAGCAACAGTTAACTGCAGCAATACGTATAAGAAGTATTTCTGATCAAGAAAAAGCATACAGAGGACTTGGTAGAGCTCGCGAAGCATCAGGAAACTTACAAGAAGCTCTGGTATGTTTTGAAAAACGTCTAGTTGCTGCACATGAAGTTGATAGTTCAGAAGCGAAAGGTGCTGCTTACGGTGATTTAGGTAGAGTTCATGCAGCTTTAGGGAATCATGAACAAGCATTGAGCTGTTTATCACATCAATTATCGTTGTCTAGAAGTTTGAATGATAAAACAGCTGAAGCTGAAGCTGCAAGTGGTTTAGGTGCTGTCCATCTATTAATGGATGATCCAGATTCTGCATTAAAATATCATCAATTAGAATTATCTTTAGCTCAAGACTTAGATGCTGCTGGACTCCAAGCACGAGCCTATGGTAATCTTGGTGCTACACAAGAAGCACTTGGTCAATACGAAGAAGCAATAAGACTCCAAGAACAATCATTAAGTTTGGCAGCAGCTGCTGGAGATCAAGCAGCAAGAGCTACAGCATTTTCTAGCCTTGGAAGACTTCATCACTTACGTGGTGACTTGTCACGTGCCCTGAGTTATTTGCAATCTGGATTATTGCTATTAGAAGGGCTAGGAAGACGGGAAGAAGTTGCTAGACTTCGTCATAGATTAGGACTTGTTCATTGGCAAGCAGGCGATGCAACAGCAGCTGTTGAACAGTTGGAAAAAGTAGCAAGTTTGCTAGAATCATTGGAAGGATCTTCTAGTATTTTGACATGTCAGATGAAGAAATCTAATTTGTTAGCAGAAACTTATGGTATTTTACAAAAAATATTAGTTGGTTTAAATCGAGCTGAAGAAGCTCTTAATTGGGCAGAAAGATCGAGAAGATCGAAAAATCATGATCTTGAAGATATCACACATTACTCAGATATTGTTGATCGACAGAAGGGAATTGTTTTATATTATAGGTATGTTTATTTTTTTAAGAAATGATTTTTTATTTTTTTCTTTAATGTTTCTTTAACAATAATTCTTTATAATTATATTTATTACAGTGAAGTTGACAATGAACTTCACATATGGTGTCTGGCTCCAAGTCGAGGGCTTTTAAGATTTCATTCCACAACTTTAATAGACGGAACAAGTCTTGAACAACAGGCTATTCAAGCTAGAGAAGCACTTTTAGGAGAATCATCAGACCACATTGATGATAATACCAAAATACCGACTCGTGGACATCACCTTAATGCCAGCTCTTATAGTTTAAGTAGTCTCTTTAGTGTCGGTTCAGCAAGTTCTCGAACTGGAAGTGTACGTTGGGGCCGTGGTTCTAAAGGACCAACTTGGCAAGCACCTGCTTCAATACAATCACTTTATGATATTCTTTTAGCACCTTTTGAAGATTTATTCCCACCAGCAAGAAAAGAACTTATTCTTGTTGTTGAAAAATCTCTTTATCTTGCACCTCTTCCCGCCCTTCAAGCTGCGCCTGGTGAAGATTATCTGTGTGAAAGATTTTCATTGTTAGTTGTGCCGTCCCTCGCTGCATTAAAGAAGAGATCACGAACACCAATGCCTGAGAATGGAGCTACCGTGGCTGCACTTGTGATTGGGAATCCGTCGATTCCTGAAGAATTACGAGAAGAACATGGTTGGCCAGAAAGTGCTTCCTCGGCTGAATCTGAAGCAGCAATTGTTGCAGAATTATTAGAATCAAGACCATTGACAGGTATTTTGGAAACTATTAATCTAGAGTATTTCATATTCTATTTAATAACAGTTACACAAAATAGTCTCGAATCGATTCAAACTGATGTTTTTGTTATTGTTAAATGGATGGAATTTGTTAATGATATTAGTTTTCCATCTACCACTTTAATTTTTTATTTCAGGTGCGGAAGCAACAAGATCAACTGTATTAAGATCATTACCGGATGCTGAGTGTATCCACTTAACTATTCCAGTCTTATGGAACACTGGTAACTTGGTATTTTCTCCAGACCAAAATGAAGAAACGTCAGAACAGAATGAATTTTTATTATCCTGTTCTGATATTCTAAGGCAACGGTTAACTGCTCGTTTAGTTGTTTTATCATGTGGCCACTGTTGGAATAGTGATGAAAGTACAATTAAAATAAGTTCAGATGCAATCGAAGTTGTAGCAAAATCATTTCTAAATTCAGGAGCACAATGTGTTCTGGTTGCAATGTGGCCTGTTCCTTCAACAGCAGGAAGCATTCTATTGCGTGCATTTTACAGCGCAATGCTTCAAGGTGCTTGTGCATCACGAGCTTTAGCAGAAGCTATGCAAACTGTTCAGCATACAAGACACTTTGCTCATCCAGCTAATTGGGCTGGTTGGCTTTTACTTGGCGGAGATACGAGATTATCTAATAAAGTTGCATTAATGGGTCAAGCTCTTGCTGAATTACTCCGTAACGGACCAGAAATTAGCCGTGATGCTCTCAGAGTAACCCTACATTTAGTTGAAAAATCACTTCAACGTATTCATCGAGGTCAAAAGAATGCTATGTACACAACTCAACGAAGTATTGAAAATAAAGTTGGTTCAACTACTGGATGGAAAGAATTATTGATGTCTGTAGGCTTTAGATTTGAACCAGCGGGTAATGGTATTCCTTCATCAGTATTTTTCCCACAAAGTGATCCAGAAGAAAGATTAACAAGATGTAGTGCTAGTTTACAAGCACTTTTAGGATTGGGACCGGCTTCTTTACATGCTCTTGTTAGACTTTTACAAGTAATATTTCAATATCATTACTTTTATCCATGCATGTATACCTTTGTAATTGCTTTTGTTATTATTCTGATTTTAATTATTTCTTAAACAGGCACCAGAAGCTGTTGATGATGTAATTACCGCTATGAAAAAAGCTAGTTCTATCACAGAAGGTCAAGAAGTAACATTACCAGTAAAAATTTGGCGAGCATCAGGATCTCATGAATTATTCGCAAGTTTGGGATTCGATTTAATGGAAGTTGGTCAATCTGAAGTAACCCTTAGAAGTGGAAAACAAGCTTCTCGACGTGCAGTTCAATTTGCTCTTCAAGCTTTACTTGCATTATTTGGTAAATTAACATTCTTTTTTACTACTAAAAAATGTTTTAACAAATAAATGAATGAAATTATTTTTTTCATTAATTCTTTTAGATACGCAAGAAGCGCCGAAAAGCTTAAGTTTAGATTCTGGAAGTTCTATGGAAAGTCTTGTTTCTGTAACGCAACCGGAGAAAACCAAAATTTTAGAAAGATCTAGAATGGGTGGAGCGTTCGCTAATTATGTCAGACATCGTGGTGAGCCTGATGGAAAAACTACAGAAACGCCAAATGTATCTATATCTCGTCAAACTTATCCTAATGAAAGAGGTAAATTTGTTGTTTCTTAATTTTTCTATAACTTTAAAAAGATATTTTATATAAATATTATTATTATTGCAGGTGAATCAGATGTAGCTTTCACACCAAGTCCACCAGTAGCACTTAATTTAAACCATCAAACTCGCATAAGAAATTTGTATCATGAACAAACAACAGTACGTCCAGAGTCAAGCTCCAGTAGCTCAATTACCGATTGGGAAAACGGTCATAATACCATTTTAAGACGTCAACCAGTATCAACTTTATCACCAGCAGTTCTTGATAGACTTAGTGTTCGAACAGAAATTACTTCAAGCACATCCAGAAAATTACGCTTGCCAACTAATAATGAAGAACTTAATCATCAAGCTGAATCATCACAAACAAACGGAAGTATTTCACATAATATGAGAAATTTAGCTACTTCTTTAACTAGCTTAACGCGAGAATTGACACCAACTATGTCTGAAGTTTATCACGAAAGAAATCTTGGTTTAGGATTAGCACCATCTTTATCAAAGCTTCTTGAAGAAGTAGAAAATGTCACGGAAAGTGAACAACGTCAGTTATCCAGATCAGAACAAAGCCAAACACAAAATTGGCTTCAAAATGAACCTGAACTATGTCGAAGAGATGAAGCTGATGGTAGATCCATTGCTGAATCTCAGTGCAGTGCAACTAGCTTAAATAAAACACACAAAAAAGTTCTCCCTCCAACTGTATAAAGTTTACACTAAAACTCTCCAATAATTTCATTCCGAATATACTCAACTTGAAGGGTACAAATGCAAAACAAGAGTTGTTAGAAGAATAAATTAATTACTTTGTCATTATAACTATCAATATCTGGTATTGACATTTCTTCTACACCAGAATTTAAATTTTATAATCTCTATAAATTTTAATTGATATAAAAATGAAAAATCACTATCAATTTGTAATATAGGATCCATTTTAAACTTTTAAATGACATTTTTTATTTTGCTCTTGTACTCTTTGTGTTAAATTAATCTTACTCACATAATATCTTTGTTATATTAAAAAATTGCACATTCAAATAATTCTCTTGAAAATTCTAACTGATTTATTAATTAATTATGTTCTTTGATAAATAATATTCTTTTTATTTACATGTATAAGACTGAATTGAAATTGATGATACTTTTACAGTTTACTTTTTTCTACACATTTGTATAACTGTAGAGAATAGCATGATGTAGAGATATTGTATTTTGAGCAATATTTATCGAGTACCTATGACTTTAAATGTAGTTTCGATAGCATTAACAAATAAATAAAATTTTATAAATCTTATTCCTTTATTGTCTTACTTATATCTATTTAAGAAATGGATATATAATTATATATATTGATACCTGTCACGTAATTAGTATAATTTCAGATGCCCAGTAACTTCATCTATAAGATTAGATGGACCTGGACCGATACCACATACGGTATGTGAGCCAGCAGCTACTTGGGTGTGTCCAGCGTCTGCTATCACGTTTACGATAAGACCACGAGATCGTGCACAACTTGCTACAGTGTGTAAATCTTCAAGAGAATCAACCTGTTGAAAATTTAGAATAATTAAAAAAAAAACTCAACTAATATAAAAGAAAATAAATTAATGATTTACTTTGACTGCAATTTTCTTTTGACCACAATCCTCCCATCCAGCTAAGAGATCTTTATATTTTCGAGCTGATTTATAATTACTAACTGCAGCATGACAACATTGAGCTGCAATTTTTCCTTTGCCCATTTTTAAGTCAGTTCTGACAACAAGTACCATCTTATATTCACCATCATCACTATTTTCTTGAATAACCTGAAATTAAAAAAAATTTATTAAATTTATCGTCATTGTTCTTCAAATTATTTGTGATGTTTATGATATTCTTACTAACCACATGATCTATTGGAAGTTTTGGTTGACTAGCAGGAGCAGTATTTTTTTTAGATAGTCGATAAAAACTATAACCCACTACCATTGAAATGAGAAATCCAAGCTTAACATCATTGATCGCATTTAAGAATATCTCCCATAAACTCATTATAATTAAAAAATAATCTCAAAAGAATCAAATAAATAATAAAATTTGAACCAATTTATGAGTGAACGTGTCAGCAAACTGTTAAATAAAAAATTGGTATGCTTGAGAGAGAATACGAGGATAATGTTGGTAGTCTTGTAAACTCAAGTGAATAAAAAAAATCTGTAATGAGCATTCAATGTTAATAATATAAATAATAACATGTCCAATAGATGATAATTAAGATTCATTATATTTGTTATGTTCATATTAATGTTAATTCTTATCAGCAATTATAAGTTCTATAATTTTATATTTTTTTCTACTTGATAAAATAAACTTTCGATTGCTCTGTCAATTCGCGCCAAAACATACACCTTTACCAACCTACATGTATTTATTGGCGGCAACTTCATTATAGCACCAACCTAATAACACAAATCCAAGTTTTTCATCAAGCGGATTTTGTTTGTTCGACAAAATTGAAGTAATATCATTTTATGAGAATAAAAATGGTTTGCAAGGCATAATAAAATGCTCTATTCGTAACTGAATTTAATTTTTAATAAAATTCAGTACTCTCATCCAATGTTTATGTTAATATTTTGAAAAAATTAAGGTTTCAATCCAAATAACCTATAAAAATCACCTTCAAAGTAATCAAGAAAGAAAGAGAGTAAAGAAAAAGAGAAATAAAGTTATAGAAGCATTTTAAATTTTATATCTGGTAGTTTTTACAAAATTGTTTAAACATATTAAGTATAATAATTAAATTAATTCTGTATTTGAATGATAATTAAATATCATTTTTCCTTTAAAGCGCCGAATAGGAGTTACGATAATTTGTAATTCTTATGAAATGGTAGAACAATTGATTGATGATGTTGTAAAGGTACACACATTGTAAAATTATTTTTTTTTATTCAAATATTTTTTTATAATTTGATAATAATTTTAATTATTTACTTTTTTAATATTACAGATTATAGATAAATTCTCTGTATCAAAAGATAAAGAAAGTTTTCGTGAGAATAACTTTAAACACATAAATATTGAAGTTACAAAGGGAAATGATTATTATGTGATTTTAATAGCACATTGTAATCTAAAAAACATAGATTATTGGGGTTGCATTACAGATTTTTTGAATTTAATAAAAAGATCGTTACCACAAAATGATGATAAAATAATTTCAGTTATCTTAAAAGAATCAAATAACAATAATGAGTTTATACTTGATTGTTCTAAAGAGCTTAACGGTTCAACTGTTTCACAGCAAATTCATTATCCACATTTAAATGAGTATTTAGCAATGAAAATTAAGGTTTGAATATTTATTAATAATACTTAATAATATTAAATGAATTTTTTCTCCACAATTTATACTCTTATTATCATTGTTATGAATTCTAGCAACAATTATCATCAGAAAGCTTTGAAAAATTTAGAAACACTATTATTGAACATTTACAAAAATTAAGTACTATCAAATTTTGTACTAAATATGCTTTCTACTATGATGGACAAGTTATTTATAAAAATCAAACTAAAGTAGACGAGATTTTTAATAAGTGTACACTATTAGGCTCGGCAATGTCCGAAATAATCACGTTGAGTTTAAATTTCGATTTCATTAACAAATCCTGTGAAGAATTGAATATCGAAGATCCAGGAAAAGCAGCAGATGCAAGCACGATGAAGCTATTCTCACTATTTCAAAAGCAATACAATATTTATAAAAATTCTGAGATAATTTAAATGTAAACAGATCTAAAAGTTCATCGATTTTATGATAAATTTAAATTTTCCCGCTTCAGCGCACGCATCTCTAAACATTCTGCGCACTACTTGATGCGTAGTCGGTGTTCTGCAGCGCGGTGCATTTCATTCCCCACTCGTTCGGGGTGGAAGTCAGGTTGGGCAGGTCGAGCAGGTTGTGTCTGCGACTGACAGTACGCCAAAAACATTAACGTCTTAGCATTATATGCTTTTTCATTCATACCGCTAATTATTGGCAACAATTTCAATTGCTAGTTAGTGATTTAAATATAATAAAACAATTGTTGAAATGTCGGTTGTGATGCCAAAATCATCAGTAGTTCTTGTGCATTGTATTGTGTACCAGCGACATTCATTACTGTGTCCGGCAAAAGTAGTATTTTCGTTTTGAAGTTGGATGAAACAGAGATTCTCAACCTCAGAGGTATCTCGGATACATGCAGCTGATTATAAGTAAGTTTTCATTATTTCATTATTTTTATAATAATAGTTTAATATGAATTATTTCATATTTTTATTCTTAAAATATATTTGAGCTATTTCGTATCTAACAAACCTCAAAATTAAGTGGTGAAGTTCAGGGTTAATTTAAGGTTTAATTACTCAATTAATTGATCAATAAACTCCAAGAATTAAAGCTTTAAACATTCTGTAAATTTTTATTGTTCATTGTTATGTATTTTGAGTGTAATAGTGTGATAAATTGAATCTAAATAAGTTCCAGTTGAATATTCATTAGAGACGAAAATGGAAATGGGAAAATTTTAGGTTAGTAATCTTTTAATTTGAAAATATTATTCTAAAAATATTATGTTTAATTGAAATCTATGAATAAAATTATTCAAAATAATTGAAAATTTCTTTAGTTTACAGGTTTGTAAATATAATTATTCCTCTAATAATTCTAAAAAAGCAATTCCAAGTATGTATCCTTTGATTTGTTATCGAATTACTGAATGTGGTAGCAGTACTTGGAGAGACGACAAATGTTTACTATGTATCCAATTACATTTTTCCGGGAGTATAAATGAATGTATCAGAGCATTATACACGCATTATAATAAAGAAGAACATGGGAATGTAGCGATCATCCAACATACAAAGAACAATAGTGTGAAAATATTTTTTTTTCAATGTTTGTGTGAAGGTTGAAGTGTTGTGCTTTATATCAGAGTGACATAATTGTGATAAACAGGATGGATTTGTTTCTGACATAGAGAAGGTTTGACGCCTGGTCATATTCCGGGATTGATAAGAGGATGATAAAGCGCGCGCGATTTACTGCGGTCATTCCCCGGCATCTGCAACACTCTCTGCTTAGAGTTTTTTGCAATCCACATTTGTTTGCTCTTGACAACATCTGGTGTCGATTCTATTCACCAGCTCATAGATCACTTACAAAGGAATCTCAGGAATGTTATCTGTTAAAACAAAATAACATAGGCTTATTAAAAAGTTTATCTAAACTAAAATATTATCCGGATGTGTGAACAATTTGCTGGCATGCCATTTATCAAGAGAAGTATACAAGATAACCAGTGTGATCGATGCTACTTTCATTGGAGATAGATTAAAGATTCAAAGATTAAATATGTGTTTGAATCGAGGCTAAGATTACGGGACTATTCAAGCGGTTGATAGTCATAAAAAATTCATAAGGATTGGGAGTAAAGCTCTCACAATTGCTGATCATGTCCAGCGTAATAATCAGCTGTAGTATAGAGAGTGTAGAGGATGTTCTAATTCCCTTCTGACTTGAAATAAAATTGTTCTTTCATGTAGTGTCATTTAGAACATATTAAATAATCTCATTTCCTGACTAAAATATTTCATAGGCTAGCAATTGATTTATCAGGATTTACTATAATGAATGCTGTTCAGTAGATTTGTAAAAAAAAAAAAAATTTATAGATTAAGACAGCTCTATGACTGTAGTCATCATTGTCTTGATGGAAGAACCATTGCTAATTTCATTACTCAAATCTAGTTTACTAATTAATGTGAATAAATGTATGGTGCTTAGAATGATTCATTTTATTAGACTAAACTATTTTTTATTTAATTAAATTAATGGTGAAAAATTATATTTTAAACCTTAGAGTTTAAGAACTCACTGCAGTGCTATGCATATTTTGTCATTTTTAAAATGATTTCTTTACTAATGATATGTTTCCAATACCACAGTAAAAATCTTTAACTACTCGCTAATTAGAGACAGTCACGTAAGAGGAATATTTATATCTTAGAGGCATAAAAATGTTGTTGTTAGTATGGTCGTTTTTTTAAAAGTTTTATTTTTCTTTCATGAATATATTAGCTCTGTGTACTATCTGCATTCATCATTCAGACACTGTCATTTTTTGACATCTCAAGTGTGAATTTCTGACACTATCTTTTAATTTAAATGCCTATTTTCACTTGAAGATATGATAAATATTTTCAGTTTATCTCATTACAATCTTCTTCCTGTTTTTCTTTTGTTGAATTAGTTGTTGAAAACGAGTTTCTAAACAAAATATAAATTTAATCCTTTGTAGAAACCAGAGCGTTGAGGTAAAAAAGAAAGTACTTAAATCATAACTAAAATTTCATTTTTAAATTAATACATTTTCTTTTCATTACAATTAATAAAATTAGGTCATGTTGGAATTTATAATTTGTCATTTAAAATATTTATTTTATTTTTAAATTTTTTTAAAAATTGCATCAATTATAATTTATCAGCTCATTTAAAATCCTCATTCTATTTTTCTCTTTAGTCATTCCTAAAATAAAAAAAAACTGAATTCATTAAAGTCTACTAAACAAAAACTTTATTTCTAATTCAGAAAAATGAGGTAATGTTAATTACAAGTACAAATTAAAAAAAAAAAAACAAATATCAAACAAAGCTACATTCATCAGTATCCAACAAATCTAAAAAAAAAAAAAAAATTAAAAAAACCTTCCTATTAACCTATTTTTACTTTTTCCATCATTTTAGCATTGATTATAGCAGCTGTTCTTTTTAGAAACAAATAAACATAAATAAAGAGATGTCAATAACCTTTGAGTAATCGCGAAGTTTAAACAAGAATAAAAAGTAAATGTAAAGTAAATGAATGTCGATAAAGCTTATAAGAACAAATGTAATAAAAAATCATAAAAAAGCCTATTGAGATAGGATTAGCTTTCTCCTTAGTTAGAACTATGACTCATTGAAGACAGAAATAATTCAAAAAACCAGGTGGATGTGTAACTTTTACGGTTTCCCGTGAACAATCGATTGATTCTATCACTGGTGGACGATGTGAGACTAAGTTGCAACT